TACTGTACGTTCATCTTCCAGAGCATAAACACACAATGTGATAGGTGTGTTAGGTCACTGCTGTAAATCTGCAGCTTGAAAAAGGCAGTTGCTTTTCTCTTCTGCTTTAATGCATGGAAGTCATGCATAATAGCTTTATAGCCATAGTAAATTCTTCAGCTGTAGAAGAAAAGCTGTGAGCTAATAGTCAGGAGTAGCGGCACTCAAGAAAGAGAACATTTAATAGCTTATATATTTTTTTTTTTTTCTTTTTTCAACTAATCAGAATAAATTTGAATGATTTTTTTTCAGTCCAGGACATGTATTTTTGTAATATGCAACTAGAAAACTGGAAGAAAGAATAATCTCATCATGCATCAGTATCAAGAACATGAATGTGGTTCTAAGACCAAAGTGAAGCAAACAAATTCACTGGCAGTCTTGTATATGAAGAGAAGTAACAAAGATAGTTTCTTGCAAGAACTGGGAGCTCAGAAATCTACACTGAGATCGGAAAGACAGTCCAAAAAGTGGAGATCTCCAATGGAATTCTTCCAGTCCTGACAGAAAGAACAACTCATTTGAGAGAGAATGAAAACCAACAGATGACTCAAGGATTGATGCTGTGACATGAGAAAATTGATGGAGACCCTGCTTGTACAGTGGACTTGGTGGACCCAAGCATCTAAGGAAATCACCTTGCTGGAATTTAAGATAAAAAGATGTAAATGAAAAATATTTTGAAAGATATTTTAAGCCCATGTAATAACCTTGCCTCGTTCTCATACCAAGAGGAAAAACTTACATTAATAAAGTTAAGGAGCATACAATCACCAGCAGATGGAACATCATGGAGAAAAATGTTAATACTGATGAACAATGTAGTTATAGGTGGTGAAGTCAACAAAATATCTTGTGCTTAGCCAAGCTAAGAAATTAGGAAAAGGGACTAAGAAAAATGAAATGCTTGCATCCAATTGCAAGAATATACATAACAAAATGTAGAAAGTAATGGTACACTATATAAGCATGAAGATGGTGAAATACCATTTGAGAAGAATGATAAGAGCTATTCGAGTGCTGTAGACTGCCAGACTAATGTGCTGAAAGGCAAGTTTATTGCTTGGAAACAGTCAACTTGCCAAACTACTTGCAGAGACATTTGTGTACCTACATTCTGCTTCCCACATTAGAAGCTAGACACACTGAGCCCACTTAGCAGTACAACAATGATTTATAAGTAAGCAATGTATTTACAGCAAAGATCGCTATACATATACTTATAACGGCTCCATAGTTTAACCTTTAACATGGCACTGTTAATGTATCATCTGGGCAAGTGAGTCTTGGGTATAATAAAAGTTTCTTCAGTCATAGAGTTAGAGAAAAAAGAAAGAGAAATTCAGTTGCCATATAGGAAGCTTGTGATTAAGGATAATCTAGGGCTAGGTTAAACACCTAACTGCACATTTTTCTACACTTTTAGGTATAATGTTGAAATGAAAACACAGGCTGAATAGCTAAAAGGAAGGGTGTTTTGAAACATAAATGACCATATTTGAAGTGGAAACAGTAGATTTTAGTTTTCTTGATTAAAAGCTACCAGCTAGCTGCTATCCCAGAGCAGTGAAAGAGATCTTGCATGCAACTAAATCTATTTAGAATGTTTTTAATTAAGCTATTGATTTGGAAGTGTTGTTATTTGGTCAGAGAACAAAATCCCAGTACCCGAGTTCAAGAAAGGTAATGGCAGAGCAATCCAGACTATCATAACCCAATAATACATAGGATGTGCAAGCACCTTTTGAAGAAAAGTACAAAAAACATGAAGTAAATCAAAAAGCAGTAAGTATAATAAGAGTTTTAATATGAGTAATATGGGCAGGGAGGGTGTAAAGAAGTAAAAACTCTTCTTGGGGGTGCACAGTGAAATGAGCAGAAGCAATAGGCACTTGTTGTTGTACTGTAAGGGTGATCAAACACTGGAACAGATTGTCCTGAGCAGCTGTGTCGTCTCCATCCTCAGAGATGTTCAGAACCCAACTGTGTAAGGTCCTGGGCATCCTGCTCTGGTGGACCCTACTTTGAGCAGCGGGGGTTAACTGGATGATCTTCAGACATCCCTTCCAACCTCAACTATTCTATCGTAACAGCAGAATTTTTTCCCCATCTTCACTCTGGCCCACTGGAAAGATATTCTGCCTAGTGAACATTTCTTTTATCTGCTAAAAGTCAAACAGATTTTTGTTTATCTCTCAAATTTCCTAATAAAAACTATAAAGTATAAGCATGGATTTTGGATTGTATTAGCACCTGTGAAGAAGTTTATGTTTTGTGATGCATAACACAGCACAGTCAGAAAATACTACAAGGATCTTGTCTAAATATTTCTGTTATTTGTGGGAATGCTAGAAACCATATGCTCTATTTTAAAAAAAAACCCTGTACTAAATATTGCTCATGGCAACTCCCTTTGAAAATGCATCACAACTTTTATAGCATAGTTGATAGTTCAATGCAAAAGCAACAGATTCATTTTCAAAGATGGAAAGTATAACCATGATTTCTTATGCAGAGCAGGTAATTGAATGAATCAAAAAGACTTTTGAAGCTACATATTAGTGGCCCTGAAACATTTCCAAGCTCTGTTCTGACTGTACAGTGGAGAGGGACTCTGAGAAACATCACTACCCTCTACTTTCCCAGGTCTCAGTTTCCATGAAGAGCAAACCCAGACACGTAGCCCAGAGAGGAGTCACAGCACATCCGAACGGAAAATGTTAACACAGCCTAAATTGTATCTGTGACCACGTCTGTGCAGAGATGCTTTATGTACAGTCCAGCTGTGGTACCTTCACATCAAAATTAAGTATACAAAACATACAATCTGAATGCTCGTCTGTGACAACTGCGTTTTTCATGTTTCTTATCTCACTGTTTCTCAGGTCTAATTGCAGGACCATCTGCCCTTTAAGAAGAGGCGTCTCACACAGTGGTGCCACAGAATTTCCAAATTTGTACAAGTGTAACATATTTTCCTCACATTTTTTTAGCATAATTTTGTATGTGTGAGAGTATGTGTGCAAAATTGTGTGCACAAGTTCTGGTTTTTACAATGGTTTCCTGAATCAGTTTCCAATATCGTACAGATTAAGATTTTATTCAGTATAACACTATACCTGATATTTAGCATCTTAAGAGTTATAAAATAAAATACTGTATTTTAAGCAACACTTTCTACCAAATAATTAATCAAAGACCTTTTTTCTGGTTTTAATGCTAAGAGGGAAGTAGCTGCTGCAGAAAATAAATGGGGGAAAATTCAGGATAAAATCAAAATGAGATAATTATTTCTCAAGAGCTTTTACTTTTAATTAAATTACAACATTTATAAAGTCATGAAAGCCTGGCAAATAGAACAAACAAATATAGTTTCAGGAGCCTTAGATCTTTAAATTTTCACTTACGACACTTAGCTTCATCACGGCTATTTGAACAGTCAGGTGTAAAATCACAACATTTGTCAGATGAAATACATTGTCCGTCCCCACATGAAAAAAGTCCCAGTGGACAGTAGAAAGGTGAAGAATTAGCATCTGCAAATTCTGTTTCCCCTTAAAAATCAGAAAAGAAAATATAAGTAAAAACACACGTATATATAAAATTCTAAGAAGTGCTTTTTATCATCTTTGAATATAGTAACATACTCAGCATAAGGAACATCTCACCACCTATGAAGTGAGCTGAATTATATCACAACTGATAAAAAACACAGCTGATGTTAGTGTCTGGTGCTTTTAAACTATATATTATTCTCCACAATATTCAAACTTCTGTGTGAAGAATTATCAAAACCACCTTAAAGTTACATGGCCAGGCTCCAGCTGAGAGGCGAGGTGCTGTGTACAGCAGCCTGCTGTTTCCCCCGCAGTCGGGAGCAGGTCTTTCACAAAAGGTTTCTGCTGTAGCGGTTGTTTCTCTGCATCCAGCTCACAATGAAAGTTCCAAGAAGCCAAATGTTTGATGTTGCACCACTACTAGCTTGCACCTCAACCTACACATTAGAAAACACCCCAAATTTCAATGAATGGGGAAACAAAAAGCCGAGGACTACTGGTTTTACTTCAGCAGATTTCCAGAAAGAGAGCAAATGAGAGGAATGACATGTAGCTTTTCATCTTTTTTGTTTAACTTAGCTTTTTTAGATACTCATGTTGCTCTTCAGACAGAGATTTTTTTTTTTTTTAATCTTCTAAAAATAACAACTTTCTTACTGATGGGTAAATAGGGGAGTTGTTGGGAAATTAATTAAAGCAAATTAATGTTTCTTCAAATACCTAGCTACCATCAATCAGACTGTATATAGGGATCAGAGAAGCCTTAAAAACACAACACTGAAGTTTTCTATTATGCCTTTAAATTTTCCAACAAAGAAGAAATTCAGAGATCTGCTGGGTATAACCCATCAGCATTAACACTGACCGCGTATGTGCCCATGCCATTTTAGAAAAGTAGTCATTAATAGTCAAGAGGACCAGAAGCAGGAGTCTGACAGAAGGTTACATTATTTCATATTTCCATCCGTTGGCACTTCAAGATTACAGAGTGTGAGTACACAGATAAGTTTGGTGGGCATTTGCTGTATGTTAGGTATTTGACAGTAATGATAGGAAAACCCCCTTGCCCTAAAGATAATGCAGTGGAATTTGCTCTTCAGTGAAAGATATAAGATGCTTTGCTTCTGTCTCTGCATCCAAGTGTGAATGTGGGCAGGTACTACATAGTAAGTGGTATCTAGAAATTCCCACTGCAGTTCACTTCACAGAGCTGGTGCAAACTACTTATAGCAGCTAGTGTGTAACACAGGATGAGAGCCTTCATTATAGATGATTGATTACAGCACATCAACTTTTTCCTCAGATTATCCCCTACTTTCTTAAAGGTATCTTGAAGTTGTCCGTCGAATCACAGTTATACATAACGGACATTGGGGAAAATGTATTGAAAACCACAGAACTTACCTTCACTTTCTTGGCTGACGCCTGGAAGTGATTTATTCACAACCCCACATTCCTTTGTTATACTGATGTCATCAACAGCAACAATAGCATTTGTTGTTAGAATAGTAGCTCGTAAAATAATCTGTAAAGACAAATAAATAAGTTATCTCATTAAAGGTGACATGATAAAAAGACATACATAGATTCCTTTATAATTTACATAATCTGCACAGGAAGTAAATACCCCCTACAACCAACTCTGAGTACCAGCCAGAAAAAAATACGACTGAGATTTGATCAAAGCCAGAAAGTTACACCTCAACTGTCAAAGCCGTAACTACCTTTACTTGTGGAAAGTTCTGCAACCCAGATGACCTTGCTTCAATCTAAGCTGGTAAAAATCATCACTATTTGAATTAATTGTCTTCCTGCTGGAAACGATAAAAGTTATACATCCTGGGCTGCATCAAAAGAAGCGTGGCCAGCAGGTCGAGGGAGATGGTTCTGTCCCTCTACTCTGCTCTGGTGAGACCCCACCTGCAGTACTGCGTCCAGCTCTGGAGTCCTCAGCACAAGAAAGACATGGACCTGTTGGAACGGGTCCAGAGGAGGGCAACAAAAATAATCAGGGGGATGGAACGCCTCTCCTATGAAGAAAGGTTGAGGAGTTGGGGTTATTCAGCCCAGAGAAGAGAAGGCTTCAGGGAGACCTTATTGCGGCCTTTCAATACTTAAAGCGGGCTTGTAAGAAAGATGAGGACAAACTTTTTAGCAGGGCCTGTTGTGACAGGACAAGGGGGAATGATTTTAAACTAAAAGAGGGTAGATTTAGACTAGATATAGGGAAGAAATTTTTTACAATGAGGGTGGTGAAACACTGGAACAGGTTGCCCAGAGAGGTGGTAGGTGCCCCATCCCTGGAAATATTCAAGGTCAGGTTGGACGGGGCTCTGAGCAACCTGATCTAGCTGAAGATGTCCCTGCCCATGGCAGGGGGGTTGGAATAGATGACCTTTAAAGGTCCCTTCCAAACCAAACTATTCTATGATTCTATCTTTTTAAATGAGCTATTCGGGGTTACCAAATATGATGGTTTACACCTCCATTTAATGAAGTCAACAACATGTGGTACAGTAAATGTAGGGATTGTGAGGATGGATTTGTAAATATAAGGAAATCTCCAGGAGACCATAAAAGGAAGTAAAGTTCAGTCATAACTTACCAATAATGAGAATTGAGTGCCCTTTCTTTTAGACCATTTTATAGATGAGACTTAAAATGAAAAGACCAAAACTGGAATTTTGATTTACTGAATCCTTATACTGATTCCCCTAACAGTTCCTTTCTAAGTTTTAGTAAAGTGTAGCAGCCTGAGATTATGTAAAAATAAAATTAAACTCCAAAACTGCTAGTTGTTTCTGTGATCAATGCTGCAAGTTAAAGTATCTACACTTCTCCTGCCTTTAGCCAATATAATTATGCCCTCACTCTGATCAGCAGTTTTTATAGCAAGTTCATTTTTTAAAAGCTACTGCACTATTGCTACTTGATTTTTATTACAAAAAGGTGATTCTAATGCATATAATACTGAACAATGGTGATGTTCTTTAATAGCTACATCTATTGAAAGAGCAGAATGAAATTCTTTTTTATATGAGCATTAAAGAATAGAAATTCTGGTTTTATATTTCATTATAAAAGCAAATTAATTCTAAAGGCCAAATTAGAGTAACTTTCTGAAAGCAATGTAAACGTAATTTCTAATTACCTGAAAAGGTAAGTCCTCAGCTGCACTTTCTACAGGTATATTCACTTTTGTCCACTGCATCTCAGGCAATCTTGAAATGTCAAGCAATTTTTCCAAACTTCCATCCAATGCAGTTCTCTTAAAGACAGAAAGCTGGGAATCCTGAGATAACCAGTACCAAAATCTTACCTGTTGAAAGAGTTTTTAATGAAACACTTTAAAAACTATATAATCAATCTGCAATAAATTAAGTACCAACTCATATAGGTACATTATAACACAGAATGACATGACAGGTCTAAACACAGCCTTGGCATAAAAGAAAGAGATGGCATGTTGAGGAGCAGTATTATGTCTAAAGATAAAACCATAATTAAAAGTAAAGCTTATTTTTAAAACTTACTTTGAACTTGTATCTATCAACTGATATGACCTCTCTTAACTCTTTTTAGCTTAGTAAGGACTTAGAAATTTCTCAAAGATTATTTTTCTTCACAAATGCTGAATATAGGACAGCTTCATAAGTATGTTAATCTCAGAAGTGCAACTGTTGAGGTACTTATATGAAAGAAACCTTATGATCTTTTATTTCCACAACCAACACAAATTAAAATTATCTGAAGACAGATGTTTAAAATAATCTATTGATCTCCTGAAACAAGTGGATTGACCAATATATGGGAAGAAAAAACAACTGTAGGTGGATGAGGCTACAAAAAACTGCTTGCCAAGCAGAAAAGATCAGAAAACAGTGAGAATCCCAGTTCACTATGCCTCCCCTGCAATACAGAGTAAACTTGATACATTTGATTTTTTTTTTTTTTTTAAGATACTACCTAGACAAAAATTCAGCTGAGAACTGCAGGCAAGAAATAAGATTTTCAAAGGCTATTTTTTTTTTCCTTCCTCCCAAGTCCTTCCTGCTTCTTCACATAGTGAAAGACTAAAATTTCTTCAACTGCAGACTCTTTGCTTCCCTGCAAAAGCCTTGATGATACTTCAATCTTCATGAAGGTAAAACAAGAGCTGTAAAAATAGCTTTTCCTACCCAGTTCTCTGCCCATCTTCATATGATCTCACACTGTGAATCTTGGATCATCACACTACAGAGAGAAAGTTTCCTTTTATTTTTTCATGTTATATCAACTTTTAAACAGAGTTAAAGAATGCAGACCATTTTGGGCTAATAGCCAAATGAAACTTTTTTTTTTTGCAAGATAAATACGAGAAAGCCCATCTTTAGCCTCAGGGCAAACACAGATGCATGTGTTAGCCAGCTTTCAGTTAGACATGACACAATTAAAGTCTTTTATTTGAGCAAGACAGTTGACACAATAGGCTGTACAGGTCATGGAAAAGCATTATATTAGGGACTGTAACAGGCAAAACAGCCTTAGGGTAGTGGTGTAATTTTTACTTCATTTAATTTATTATGAATTAATGCAAATTTCTAATCACTGGTTGGGCTACTGAGAAAAAAGAAAAAAGAAAACAAATATTTAAACACAAACTTGAGTAAACACCTTTCCTCCCCCTTCCCCAGGCCAGTTTAAATCAAACACTTAGTCTGCCCCCTTCCTAATCTTAATTTCCCTAATTTTTGCTGCAGGTTACACTCAGTCTGGCCCATTTCCTTTGGTGAGACAGCAGGTGGAGCAGGAGGTTGGGCATGGGAGTAATGGTTTCTTTCTGGTGCTCCCTACGCTCCCTCCTCTGCTCATTGCTTCTTACTTTTCTTCCCCTGCTTCAGCTCAGGGCTTTGACAGGCCACAGTCCCTCTGGGGTGTCCCCACACCAGCATGGGTCACCCACAACTCCAGTTCTCTCAGAGCCATACCTCCTCATCATGGACCACCTCCTTCTGTGGGTACATCTCCAGCTGTGTCCCCAACAATGTCCCCTTCCACACCTCTCCTCCTTGTTTGTCCCCAAGAGATCTTTTTTCTTTTTTTCTTTTTTCTTCTTTTTTAAGGGAAGTAGTAGTTCAAAAGTAACCAGACTCTGAGAGGAGTCTTTTCTTCAATAAATTATCACATTAGCGTCTCTGTTAAAGCTGTAGTCCCTTAGCGTGCCAAGGAAGTTGAAGAACAGTTGAAGAAATCGGTGAATTAGAGAAGTCCTTACATTGAAATAATTGACTAGTAATCTGAAAATCATTGTGCATGTGGATTCACTATCTATCACTTCTGGCCTTGAATTTAATCCATACAATTGGCAAATACACCAAAGACACAACATCTGCTATGTATGAAGGGAGAGTTTGTTTTTGTTTGTGTTACATAGTACAAAGTAGATCAGTGGATACTGGTGGAAATATTCTTGTCACAACACACTGTTACTTTTTAATATCTTCTGGCTTCAAGGCTGGTGGACTTGATCTCTTAATTTCCCATAGTGTTTCTTTTTTCCCCATTCAGGAAAATCACATATTAATCTCAAGACTTATTAATAAATTGAAATACTTTCATGTAATGTTTTTTCCCCACCAGAAAGCTTAAGGAATACAAAGCAGCAGGTATACAAACACTTTTCAAAATGAGCTGTTTGAAGAACTATACCCTAAACAATCTAGATGTAAGGTTTATGTTTATAAAGCAGCTTTTCAAACAAATTTGTGGTTTTATTACAGAAGAAATAAAATTACCCTCCCTCTCTGTCTACATGTTCTACTTTACAATGACTACTCTGTCCATTAAAGAGCCATAAACAGAGAGTGAAACTAGAAATTTGCTTCCACAACTCCAAAAACTTAAGCTAAATGAATATGTTTCTTAGCTGACATCTACATAAAGACTCAGCTACAAGAAGCTGCAGAAAGAAGTTACTTCTAAGCTTCAAGTAACCAGTAAGGCACAATATAAAACTGTTATCCCTCAACTCCAATTTTATTTCTTTCTTCCTTTTTTTTTTTTAAACAACTGGAGCCAAAGAACTTGTAAAGCTATTAATAAACATAGATCTCTTTCTGTATATCTTTTTATCCTCTCAGTGGGACATCCAACAGAGGGCAACATCTCACATTTATACGCAGAGAGCGTAACACATCCTAATGAGCAACCCCTACTCCTTGCTCTTTCCCAGAAATAAAAGTCTGCAGGGAAAATGCGGCAGAAAGCCAGGCTTCCAGTCTTCAAAAACACTCTCTTTTCAGACACGTATAGCTGGGTAAGAACTTGCCCTAGATTTTGTTGAATCTGGGATCTTTAAATACATTCAATACGTGCATACCTAACATTAAAATTGGTTCTTTTCTGACTTTGAACTAATGTATGTGCATCCCCACTGCATTTGTATTTATTTTGAATGCAGACCAAACTCTGCAATAGATCTAACCAGAATGATTCGTTGATTCACATACCAGTTGTGCCCACTTCACCTTAAGGATTTCTAAGATAAATTAATCTGAACCTGAAAGGTACTTATCTACTCAATATCAAAGTCTACAAAAGAGGTATGAAACTGCCTGAACGAATGCATTGTGTGTGCAAAAGTTGTTGGTGTCCCAGGAGTAATGCAACACGCAGGGTTCCGGTGGGATGCTGCAAGGCCTTCTGTGTTCCCTGCAGCAGCATTCTGCTTGATTTCATTCTGCACCTATTTCATTTGTGATTTGTTACAACACTAAGAAGCCATGTGAAGATTAAGAACTGAGAGAGTGCACTAAATGACAGCAAGGCGCTGTTCTTAAATTGTTTAAGAGGTTTCTACTCTTCATCTGCAAGTTGCAACTATTCAGTTGAGATCTGGTAACTCGTTGATGTGCATAGTCCAAGTCAGCTACAGTCTGAAGTAAAACAGGTTTATCTAAGCCAACACTTGTTTCAGGTCCCTTACACTAGGAAAAAAAAAAAAAAGAAGCCTAGGTCCTGCTGCAATAAAATTCTGCTATTTGTTGGGCCTTCTAAGTGCAGGTTCTCCACATATTGTTTTCTGACATTTTTATTTTTGAAAAAAGTTTTCCTAAGTGAAATTACAGTCTCTGTTCTACATGGACTCTGAAAAATTAAGCAACCAGTCTGAATTTATTTTATTTCTTTAAAGACTCTTTTTGCTACCGAACACAATAAAATTATTTTGGCAAGCTTTCCCTATCTTTTCCTTTTCTTCTCTGTGACTTCTTAATTCAGAAGTCATCATGCAGTAACAAAAAAAACATAACATCATAGCTACACTTCTCCCCAATACGGCATAAGCTTTGAAAAGTTATGGAATAGAAAACAAAAAGCTTCAGAAAAAAAGACAAAAACTTATAAAACTGTATTGCATCTATTTACTTTATTCAGTGGCCAAAAGGATAAACAAAAATACAGTTGAGAATGTTTTCTTGTATGTATATTTCTTTAATAATATAATTATATATATTTAATGTATTTCTTCAAGTTCTATTTTAAAAATAGATATTTTGTTGAAAATTACAACATTCTAGTTATAAAACTGTATTTTCATTTTTCATCTAAGACATTTCTATTTTTTAGTCCTCCTGACCCGTTTTTTCCAGATAGCTTTCTAGTTTCTCAGATCAACCGCCATCCTGGCTCGTTGCTTTTGCATTCCTCTGCAGAGCCACAAGACTTTTGACAAAAAAAAAACATTTCAAGGTAAACTCTCGATAACTGATCTGCTTAAAAAGCATCCTCCTCAAATCATCAATTAAAATTTAGTATGTGTCTGGAGCATGGTAGCTAATTCTCTCCAGCATAGTTAATCTATATAGCGACTTCAAACCACAGATCTCCTATTATAGGACACTGGATGTGTGAGTCTTTCCTGCCTACAGACGACAGCGTGACTCTTCATCAGCTTTTGCTCAAAAGGCAGGCTGCTTTGGCTGTGAGTTGATACGGCCCTGATATTGTTGTCCAGCTAGGTTTGTCACAGCGTACAAAAAACCTTGAAGCATAGCCTTAAATCTGAGTCATCTGGTGGATGGTTTAGAAAGAATAATAGGCAGATATAAAAATTTGGCAGCAAAGCAGTAAAAAGCCTGCTGCATCTCCCTCCTCCCAAAGAATTAGTCTGTAGCTCCTTCCACTGGTATTGAAATGGAGCCAGTTTTTCAGCAGCATGAAATACCATATCTGCATATCAGGTGAGTGATAGCTTACAAGGGTGGGGACAGTTAATATCAAACTATTACCTGACAGCAGGAAAGCCCAGGGGACAGCTTGACAAGGAAAGGGCTCCCCAGATGAGATCTGGCCATCTTTGTGTTCATCTGATGTGATCCATTGAAGTAAATGAATGCTACTGTAAACAAAAATCAAAGAAACATGAGAAACATGTCATGCTCCAATGGCAAATAGCTACCTCAGAGAGGTATGTGCTATGTGCTCCGTGAGGCACATAAAGCTTACTCATAAACATAAACAAATGAAACAGCTTTGCCATCAGTTCAGTCTCTGTGAATAACAAGGAGGGTCTTGTAACAGGTTGCGACAACCAGTGTCTATACAGGCAAAAACAAAATAGAATTGCTAAATGCTCCTGCCTCTTTCCTGTGCAGTAAAATTAACTTGACTGAGTCCAAAGATGAGGAAAGAAGGAGAAGGGAAAAAGAGCATTTGGGCAGCCATTGCTAAGGCTACCCTGTTGTGGTGCCTGCAAGCACTTAAACCTGAGGAAGTAAATACAGAGCCCTGCAAAGGGAGTTCAGGTGTTGCTTCTGTGAGGGCTTTACTGTGCAGATCCGCTGGATGTATTTTTTTTATCTGCCCTTTTCAGGCAAAAACCTTAAGACCTCCATCCTCCAAACACTATAACTACTTCCCATCATCTTCGAACGGTGCCCTTCTGCTCTCCGCACAGGCTGGGGAGAGCGAAGGGATTGCAGGAGCTGCAACACAGAGCACCCTGGAGATCAAACAGCATAGACCTCAGCTGGGATCCCTAGAGAACACATTTTAATTGGCTTAAATAATGTTTCAAACAGAATTTAGAACAAAAATTAATTTCCTTTACGATATAGTATTCACTTTCAGCACAGCCCAGCCAGTTTTAAGCATGCTAACAATGTTGAAGACCACGGGAGCCAACGGAATAAGCTATATTTTCTCATGGGGTCCACTGACTTGACATTGTTGTCTGTGCTAGTGGGGATGAAAGCTTAATTAAAGATCTAATCTGAACTCTGGCAAACGAACTGCCTTTGGATTTGAACGACAGCAGATGTGCTTCAGACAAAGGTAGGGAAGGATAAACATCTTCAAGGGGCCCTAAAGCAGCATATTTTGATTGTCATCAGTGCTGCCTTCGCTGAATACTGAGACTTTTTCATGAAAGTCTATGCAAAACAACACTAAAGGCTCAGTCTTGTTTGTGCATTGATATTACACATATTGCCTTACATCTTGGAAAATCAGCTATTGTGCTGCCATAGTCATACTCCTTAGCCATTTATTTCCCATGGATACATAATGAAGCAGAGGGTTAAGTCCAGCCCTACATGAATAATTGCATCGCTTTAACAAGGCTGGCACAAAGAGGTGACCATTACAGCTCCTTGTACAAACAGGCGTGCTGCGCTCTGCAGCGCAAGGAAAGCTCCCCTCATTGGAATGCAAGGATACTTCAAAGGATCCTCTTTTTAATTTGCAGCTGAAACTCTACAGTAACCTTGTTAAGATCTTCATTAATCAAAATTTGCTGCTGCCCTCCCCAGGAGAAAAGAGAGACGAACACTCTATGGTATCACGAGCAACAGTTGCAACCTGAAGAACCTTGATTTAATGTTGGCAAAAGGTTGCTCAAATTCTGGAAGCCTAATTCTAAAGCCATGATGTGGCTGTAGCAGGCACAGTGATAGTTGGGTACAAAACGACCTCAGAAAGACCTTTGCACTAACTTATATGGGGAATGCATCATTACTGGGCTTGAGAGGTGCTGCATGGTAACCTCAAGATCTGCTTGAGGCTTCAACCTGCAGCAACATACAAAGATGTGAACCTAGCTTGTAATGATTCAGGTATCGAAGCAGCTGAAGTGTAGCAGCACATAGTTCCATATGGGCTAATTTAACATGCTGCTTAGGCTGCAGACCAGATGTTTCTGCCAGCAGCCTTCATTATGACCACATTACACCTCAGATCTCACCAGCACCTAGAATAACCCACATGGGAAATACACAGGCATATCAGTGCCCTTCTCTGGAGCTGTGAGAGTTTGGAAGCTGTGACACCATAATGTTTGCAGACAATGCAGTAATGCAGATCCAGTGCCACTCTAGAAAGACAATAAAATTAAATATCAAAGAGCTGCTGAGAAAGTGAATAGCAACTTTGGTGCACTTCATCACTGGGGGACCAATGGAAGAAAAGGCATATGACTGTGCAGTTAGAGTTATTATATAGCATGCACACACATACTCGCAACCCACTAGGGTTTGCTCAGGTGAATTTTAATCCTGGAATTCCTCTACCTTTGAATGCTTGAGGTGGAATGCTTAATATTTCACATTCCTTTAACATGAATATGGGAGACAAGTGTGGAGATCTGGTTATAAGATGATATACATCATTAAAAAAAATTAACTTAAAGGGGTGTTGGACTGCAAAACCCAGATTTTAAAGTAATCTAATCTCCACTGGAAGCAGTGTAATAAATACATTTTAATAAAATTGAAGTAACAGAATATTTGCCACTATTATTTGACAATAACAAACAATACTAGGCAGTTTTAGTTTTATACAGTTTGCTGTAATAACATTTTCAGTTTGGGAAAAGTACTTTAAAACAGCCCTCTATTGGAATAAACTTTTTCCAGCTGAATGCATTGTATAGCAACTATGGGCTGAAGGAGGAACAACTGTTCAAAGGATATTACTCTCACTCTATTTTTCCCAAACAAAACTGATTATTTACCTGCACTCTACAAAAAGCTACAGTCATATTTTGTCCAAATAATATTTTCAAGAATTGCCCTTGTGTGAAAATTGGGTACAAAAACGCTTATGATACGCTGAACAAAGTTAGCTATGTCAGTTCGAAGGTCAGTATCTCAAAAAACTGAAGGCTGGATGAAGTCTCATACCTCATTGATTGTCCCAGCAGAAAATGAAGGTTACAAAGGCATAGTAACCAAATCACACCTAAGAAAGAGCATCCCCAAAAGACTAACGTTTCTGTAACGTTACCTATGTTATATACATACTATGTAGCATCCATTTCAAACGAGTTTTTATTATCAGTCTGTTACCATTTACAAATACAAATACTCATCACAGAAGGAGGAAAATAATAATAATAAAAGAAATCTCACCATGTCCGGTATCAGTCGTATGGCCTCTGCCAGGGAGTCTCCTGTCAAGGGGAGCCTGTTCTTTCATTATGTTCCACTCAGCATCATCTATGCTTAGTGGCTTCCATCCACAGAGGTCAGTCTCAAAATTACATATAGTGTAATTAGCTGTTGTAAGAAGAAAAACAATAAGAGATCATTAAGTTGAATTTACTGCAACAGTTTAACGCCAGAACTATGACTATTTTGTATTTTGATGTACAAGGAGTCTTAAAGAAGCGCTGGTATGTTTTACTGAAATCCAGGTTATTCAGATGGACAAAAAGCTCTAGAATACAGGCAACAGATCAGGCAGGCCCTTCTTTTCTTAATGAAACTCAGAACCATGAAGGAAACCACCTATAAGAGAATAAACTCATATTAAAGGCGAGACCTGTACATAGGTTGCTGAAAGATTATGAAAGTAATATTATATATTTTTAAAAGATTAATTTTACTGGAAAGTTAATTATGAATGTGTGGGAAAAAATCAAATGTATTTAATGCTTTAAATACACTAAAACCAAAGAATAATTAAGCTTCCACTTAATTTATTTTTAAAAATGAGATTTAAATTTATGAATTATTTAGGTCTCCTAGAAGTTTTTATTGCAAAGTAAAAGACCATTTTCTCAGTTGGTATGGATTAGACCATCTTAAACTATATAACAATCTCACACACACTTTCATTTCTTGAGTGAAATTAATTATTTTGATAAGAAAATAGTGTAATCTAAGAGTTTTCTTTCCTAGTGCAGAACAGCTCCACAAAGTGCTATTCTTAACTATTTGGGTCGCTTATCGCAATTGTAAAAATTGCTTTTGAACTGTACTTGGCACTTTCCAGACTTCCTATCATATCAGTCTCAGATTACTCCAATTTTCAGATTATATAAAACCAAAATGAAATGCATCTTTGTTTAAGCACCATGGCAGTAAAGCTCCATAGTAAAGGTCTTCCTGGAAAAGAGGTTATCTGAGCAGTTAAATCTTAAGGTACAAAATAAATCACAAATATCAGTATCTCTTAGGTGGATTCACCATATACCTTAAAATTCAATGGAGCATATTTTTCTGTTTAGTGCAGTATATGAGTTAAACGTGGAACTTAGTTAACTTATTTAATTACAGAATTCTCATGCTTTTTACAAGGTACCTTGTTAATTAGACTTCAATTGCTAATACATTAAGGTAGAATATGCAAAGTGATACCCAAGACTAAGCTGGTTTGCTGCACAGTAATTAATATTGTGTTTTGGCATTGTGCTTTCCTTAGCTAAGCAATCTTGAGTGAACCAATGTGACATAAAAAAGCAAACATTCTTTGCTTAAACACCTCTTCCCTCTGGCCTCCACAAACACTGCGTAAGAAGCTGACTGCAGTGGCTGCATAGTAATATCCAAAAAGACGTCACTAAATGACTACGTAGACACAAAGGACTTACTCTGTTGTATGCTAAGCAACCAAAAAACTCTTCCTGGAAGGAAAATGCCAAGCCAAAGTTAAAATAACGGTTTAAATATGAAAGAGAAATCAAGAGGGTACTAATGATTAATATTTTACAGCTCAATAAGATATTTAACATGGGATTATTTTTTTTTTAATTGTTATTTTCTTTTAACTAGAGGTACTTAGGACCACAAGAAGAGTTGTTATTGCAATATGAAGAACAGCATCTTTCATGTGCTGATGACACCAGATCTGTTGTCATTTAATGTGGCCCAATACCAGGCTCAGGGTTTTTCACTGGCTCATAGTGAAAAGCTGACTGTTTAAGCTACATTTGGAAATCGTACACTAAAAGAATTGGCAAAGCAGCAAGGTTGTGATCAGATGCAGCCCATCACTGCCCTTGATGGTCAACAGGAAGAGAGAAGTCTGGTGAAATCATCATTTCTTACATTGGTAGCCACTAGTACAATTTCTTCTAACACTATGGATTTAGAAAGAAATGCATAAAAATCATCTTTTAGGTTGAATATATAAGCAGTGGGGAAAAAAAAAAAGAAAAGGCATGCACACGCAAAAAGACACATTTCCAAATCAAATTATTTTGCCCAGTCATTTTTTCAAACATTATTCAAGTCTGAACACAATTATAAAGGTAGGAAGAACATTCATGGTATTGTGGTTTTGGGGTTTTTTTTTTGGGGGGGGGGGAGGGGCGCAGGGAGGAAATAAAAAAATGTGGCTCCAGTTCACTAAAAGCGATAATGTTGACCATGTTTTAGATGTTACTATTTAATTTTTTTCCATTGCACCTGTCATTTAAAATGACAAGCTCTATCCAAACATCCAGTCATGCAGAGACACTGGGCCAGTCACTTACTCAGCCCAAGTGTTCCACCATATGTAGTTTCTGGAAGTGATACTTCATTTTTAAAAGTATTATCATGTTAGGGAACAGCTAGGCTATAAATGTGAGTGAAACCCAGTTGTCTGAGTTAACAGTTGACTTAAATTTTTTCCCTACTTAATTCTAAAAACTTAAGTGCGACGAGCGAGGGAAGGCAAGCAGTCGACTCAATGTGAGTGATAAGGCAAGCTTCAACTTTATTGCAAAACCCTACATGTATTTATACACTAATTTCTACCTTATGCATACTTGTCTTACAATTATTGGCTTAGCTCTAAAGATTGCATTAGCATACTCCTCCTACTTGCGGTTATTGTTACATGGTCCGGGTTCCATCCTGTTTTTCTTATACAGTGTTTCTTCAAAAGCTGTTTATCTGTACAGTGCAAGGTCAGCACGACCTTCTTTTCCTCCCTTGTCAGCACGACTCGGAATTTTTCACTGCGGCCTAGTCTGGCTAACTTATGTCAAAATTGAATCACAAGGCTCCTCAGCCATTCTCCAACACTTAAGGAGTGCTTGTAAATGTTTAATCAAGCTTGAAAAAAAAGTTCTGTGCTTTGGCTGAAACCCAAATCCAAGTTAGACAGTTTCATTGCTCAAACATTAATAAACTTTGAGAAATGCTCCTTTCCCATCAAAACAGTGCACAATTTTTATTATTCACAGCCTTTTTCTACATTTTTATTTGAAACTTTGAGTGATTATAGGGAATGTTTCACTATCCATAGTTGGAAAATAAGTGACTGCTCAACCTATATTCTTTGAGGAGTCATACTGCAGTTATGTAAGTTAAACAGACATAAAGCATTTTTCTGGTATATTATATCCTTTCCTACTGCACCTGTTACCATCAGAGCTTATGTTTTTTATTTCACTGGGAAGATTTCACTGGATTCAAACTGCAGATTTTCCACATTCTGAAAGCAAAACCAGTTAACTCTCATGTTTGGACATTCATCTATTTATAATTCAGCAAATTAAAAAGGAAATTAGAAAGGAAACAACAATCTGCATTCATTTTAATAACAAGCCAAATTTGAAAAATAATTTTTTTTTTTTTCATGTGGGTATATCAGTATATTTCAGCTAGTCAAGGAGTAAATTATTACACCAGTTCTGTGAAAACAATGACTCTGGGATGTTATCAGGAGGAAAAAAATGTTCCCCAAACACATCTCCTTGAATTTCAAGAAATAAATGGAGTTTACTAAAGCCGTAAAATGCACTGGAAAGATTTTTCAATTAATATGAACCATTTTTCCATGTTTTTTGAAAAAAGAAACAGGAAACAAAGCACATATTCCAAGAGCACTGGGAGGTTACATGGAAATGTTTTTTCTTTGACTATCTTACTTTACCTGTCCCAGCTACTCTTGATCCTCCTGGGGGAAAAACAAAGCAGTCCTTTTAGCTAGGCTGGGTTATCAGCCAATTAATATTGCTTCAACTTTGCTAGCCTGCCACTGGGTGAAGCTTTTCAATCCTACTCTGGCAGCTCAATCAAATGAACACAACTGGGGACACACAGCTTGTCCCTCCATCAGGTTGGTGTTTCCCTGACTAACAGATTGAATGAGGAGGGCTGCTACCCTTGCTCAGTGTGGCAGGAGCCAAACTCCTATGGAATTTGCGGTATAAACTACCTGTATGATAAGCGACCAAAGCACCTCTGTGTGATTACTTTGTCATTAAGATTTTGCCATTTCTGGCTAACGCTTAGTGTCATTTTGGAAAAAGGTAAGAAGTACCTTCTTACTAGCTATCTGTACACATTCCCTACCATTTTGTGATTAGTTTTATTTATCTAGAATTTGTTAAAGAATTCATGCAGAAAGATCGCAGATGGCCATAGGTCATCTAACCTGAGCTTCTATATGTCATAAGTTATTACACAGATCTCTCTAGTCCCTTAGGTGAGATGGCCTCATCTCCTTCTGAAACTACTCAGTTACCTTGCTTAGGGTTAAGAGACTGGTGGTGGTAAAACAATCTCATGTCAACCCTGGGTCTGCAGAGGGTACGCTTACTTTGAGTTAACTGTTCTGGCGAAACACAAAGGCAATGCTACACAGTGTTCATAAGCAATGAAGAAGTCTGTGAAAATAATATGGGTGTAGCTTATTCTTTTCCACATGTACATACAAGATTGAGGGACAGATACCGACAATTTCAGACAATAAATGTGTCACAGCTGTTGTGACCAGGACAACAGGAAACGCATAAATGTGTAGTAAACCAAATGTTTCAGACTAAAAAATGCTCTTTCTTCCTTAAAGTTGAATGGTAATAAAAGGATTTGCATATGTGTTCATCTGCTGTAGTTTCAAGGATTTGCAATTGTAAATTGCTATACTGTAAATGAAATGCAGTAAAAGGTATATGGCTTTAAAACTATACAAGTTTCCTTCATTCTACATATTTTCTATTCATAAATTATGCAAATCCTATGAAAGGTTGAGAATATTTAAGCTAATACCAGAGATGCAAAATTAAAACTAGAAGAGTTAGGCTAGATGGAAGGTGATGTTCTTTCAGAAAGAGCTGTAGGATGTCCTACCCCACAATCATTTTGAATCTACATAAACGCTGATGAGTAGGCAATTTCCAGAAACACTACTCTATCAAAGTGTGATATCACTTGAAAATAGCAAGCACTTCCTAGACTTCCTGCCAAGTTGCTAGTATTCCTAGCTACTGATTCATTTGTGATGTTTTCATATGTATTGTATATATTACATATAAATAATGTATAATAATAGTAAGTATAGTGCTTGAAATATTTGTTATTTGGCATAGCATTTAGTGCAAAGCTTCCTTTATATTAGGTAGGAAATAAAGGATAGGCATCAGCATGAAAGGGGTCTTTTTAATCCTTCAAATGATCTAAGTACTGTATCTCACTTTCTCTGTTTTGAATCTAACTAGGTTTTGATCATTTATTATCAGTCACTGTGAAATAAGAAATTTAGAAGTGATCTCAAATAAGTGGTGTCAAAAAAGACATAATGCAAATGTAGAATTTAATACTAAAAACATTTTCATAATTTGTCACTTCATTAGATTCATTGATTTCAATAAAACTACTCAAATAAAGGTGGTTACTCATGTGCATAAGTGTTTCCTAGACAAGTTGCTATTTTTTTTGAGACTTTTAAGCCTCATATACTTAAATATATATGTATATAAATAAGCAGAGATTAAACAGAATGTTTAAGAAGCATTGTAAAACATATATTTGTTCTTGTAATAAATTGCATTATTATAAGACCATTCATGCCAAGTTAATATGAGCAAAGAGAAACATTATTTTTCCTTCCCCATTATAATGAAGCAAAGAAAATCATCAAAGAAGGGGAAAAACCTTCACATTGCTAAGTACCAGCTGTCTGTCTTTGTTTTCATTCAGAATGGAGGTCTGTCAGCTCTTTCAGTACATGACAGTACTTCATCAAAGGAAACTACTGAGGATGTGTGCAAGGATAGATGCTAAAATACCTAAAAGAACAGAGGCTAAAATATGCACTATTGTACTAGATAGGAATTTTTACTGAAAATTAATGTGCATAAATATAGTGCGCTCTAAATATCATGGACGACAATTTCAAGATCATGTGGAAAATGTACATAATGGGAGGAAAAGAACAAAGGACAGAAATAAAGGATGATTTTCCCTTTAGGTCTCTTCTGTTCAAGACTGCAGAAAGTGTCAGAAAGATGAATTTTCTAAGCTAACCAAACTGCTGAAGAGCTAAATTCCACGTTTAGGGCCCTCTTTCCTGAAAAGAAATGTATGAAGTATCCAAGACAATATTAGCCATTAAAATGGGCCAACTTTAAAAACAGTTATTGTTATTTTAAAGATGGCTATTTTTTTCTTTTCTTTCTTCTCAGCCAGTAGTCAAAGCAACTTGCAACTCTCATGAGTTACTTATATTTTAGAAAAGCACCTTTTTTCACCTTTTTCACCTTTTTTGAGAGGATGAGTGTACTTTTGTGCACTGCTCCAACAAAATGATATATCTTTAACCTGCAAATGCCTCAACACAGAGTGAAGCAGTCCCTATGTCTCAGGTCCAACTGAGTGTGGTATTTTCTTTAAATTAACTCTAGGAGTTAGTGGAGAATCAGTGCCACGTGGTAAACCAGAGGTAACTGCAGAGGCAGCAGCAGACAGTGGAGTGCTAGGCAGAGCTATTGAAGAGGGGTTTGCACTGGCTGGGCCTCCCGTCAGTCCTTGCCCCAGCACCCAAATTCTGGAGATGCTACAAAGGACAGTGTTGAGATCCCCAGGCAGTTCTGACCTTTCTTTCTTCTGCCCACTCCCTAGTTTTTCTGACCCATTCACATGAGCATGACAGAAACAATATTTTCAAGAGTGAATCCCACTGTGATCTTTCTTTAACTCTAAAATACTGACTATATCTAGGTTATTTCATCTTTCAGTTACACAATGCCAATGTCCAATGTCTGAGGCACAGGGGTAAAAATAAAATAAGTGTAATACATTGCATGCAAAATATAATTTTGTAAGAGTTATCTTTATTTTCACTTTGTGTAGTACTATTAACAGCTACCCTTCAACTGGGACAATTATTTTTCATCCTCCTTTTAAATCTTAAAATTATTCTTCTATATTCCTAGTCATTATTCACCACAATTCTCTCACATTGTTACTGAAGTGGGAGCACTAAATAGCTGAGAAATATAGTCCAATTTATAAAGTACTATTCACCTTCATTCCATCCTTTTTCCTAAAGAGCATGAGAGGACTCTCTGCACTCCTACCAGCACACACACAGAGCTAGCAGCATAGGGTCAAGTCTTGTAAAAAAAGAAAACAGATGTCAAAGAGGGATTCCCTACGGACTTCAGTGTTGGCTTAGACTCCACCCAGAGATAAAAGAGTGTAAGCCTTCCTATTTCAAATGTAATTTCAACATTTGCACACATTACTCACTCAGAGATGGCTCCTGCATGGCTATTTAAGCAATTGAAAAGATTAAAGGTTCAGACTGTAAGTTAAAAAAACCTCAGAGTCACAAATAGTTCCTAAAGTCTTCTCATGAAATTTGAAAATAAAACATTATCAGTGTCCTTCTTCCTGCTATCCTGAGTGCCACTAAAAATTTTAATTTCCACCTCCCAGCAGCAATGTATATCATTACCAATATCTGAAATATGTGCACAATTTTAATCTGTAACACACATTTAAGTGTTACTACCACAGGTAAACATACATATAGATGCATGCTGTATAATATTCATTTTAGAAGGAATAGGGTCTCTAAAGCTTCTTTCACATGGATCTTTAAAATGTTTCAGAATTATTAGAGACATCTTCCAGTAATTTTAATTATTTTTTGCTCTTGATTGTACAGTAGAAACTGTGGCTTCCAAGCAAAGTTACCTTCAATTGAAAATATCATGACAAAGATATAGCTCCTGAACTGTAGCCGATTTGTAAGGTGATTTGAATCATCATGCAAATATCATGTCACCTAACGAATTTTCTGGCAATAACTCATAGACAATCTAAAGTAGAAAAGTGTTCAAACAACAAATCCCAAGGCAGATTTCAGTCCCTCTCAAATTAGGGAAGTAGAGGTTATAAATGCTGTACATAGGGAATACATTTAGGAAAAAATATGCAAAATGTTTCATCTCTTAAAAACACTTAAAAAATTATTATCTGGATCCAAAACATATTGATGAGGCCAGACAGAGAAATAGTAAGCAATGGGAAGAAGAAAAATGTGTGACAGAAGATGCTGAACACTGTCACTAACCCGTACCTCATTAAATATTCTGGTGAAAAGAAGCCATATAAACAATAACTAAGTTTTTTAGCCATTTCTTGGATAGACCTGTTTAGGTTTCAGAATACTCTTCAGCACAATGTCCCTCTAAAGCAATGCAATTCACTTACAGCAGGCCGCTGGATCCTCATCACTGCCGTCAGAACAATCTGGGTGAGAGTCACAGGCTGATCCAGGCTCCATGGACTGCCCATCAGTGCAGGTGAATTCTTCTAAGGAGCAGAAACCCCGTTGCTCTAATGGTGTAGTGTCCAAGAGCTGGATGCTATTCAGACAGATGAAACCTGCCCTGCTCTGGAGTGTTCCTTTAAACATAAGCTGTGGATTGTTGCAGTTAAAATATTTGCATTAACAGACAACAGAGAAAAACTGATTTTTATTTCCATAAAACAGTAATGTCCTATGTGTAAAAAGCACTGGATACTTCCCATTACAAAACCACGACAAATTTCAGATCAGAAGCTCAGATTTTGTATGACTACCTCAGGTTGAATTTTCCGAAAATTTTCAGCTAAAACGGTTTGACGAATTCCAAGAATGAAGTTAAGTAGAAGCCTATTTTAAAGGAAAACTCCTAATCTCACAGTCTTTTGACTAAAAAGTTGCAATGCCTTTGTGCTTTAAAAGAGTGTCCTGAAATGTAACATCCTAAAGACTCCATATTCTGCTCTGAAGTCTCTTCAGAACCTCATTTTGCAGATGTCCAAAAGAAAAAATTTTGGTTACGTTCACAGGTGAATAAAATGGGTTAGGGACTGTTGTCAGACACCAACTGCAAGAGCATAGCTTAACAACTGATACCTCTTTCAATGCTTAAGATAGCTGCATCCAGTCTATGCAATGGGATTGGTCTCTGCCTGCTGGTAACCCTTGAACTGTTCCAGGCACTGTCTGGGAGATGACCAATTTACTTGAGTTAAAACCTTGCTAGAGACCATGCTAATATTTTAATTATATGGGCTATCACATGGCAATCCTTGGGCCTGTGTCCTGGCCCTGCTTATTTTACTAATATTGGCATAGGCATAACGGTTCAAGGAGCATTTCTCTGTCCTACAGAGTTCCCTTGCACTGACCAGATTTTACACGAGCTGATTTAGAGCAATGATGTTTCAGAAGAACACCTCTTGCTCCTTGTCACTGCGGAGCCCAGCTCTACTGGGTCTGAAAGCAAGGAGATTACCACACTTGTGCTCTCAAAGTTTCTTTTACCTGAGCTAAAGGAGCAAACAGGAGGAAGCAAGACTGGATTCATCAGAAAGATGAATATGGCAATGAAAGAAAGCACTGAGAGACAAGAGCAGGAGTTGGTGGCACAAATCAAAAATGGAGTTGTGGGTTTTGACAGGCTGGGACTTGGCCAGAGTGTGAGTCTCATAAAGTAGTCATGTGCAAGAGGCAGAAAGCAGAGTGGAAGGAAAGCTGGACAAGAGTTTCCAAGAAAACAGAAGGAAACTAGAACAGACGTGATTTGGGGCATAAGCAGGAGGCTCTGACACACTCCCCGAAGCCTGAGAATTAGGTTGGAGTGAAATCTCAAGAGGAATTTTTCTTTCTAAGAAATAAGAATGATATATGTCATTATCTTCGACTAGAGACAATTTCTTCAAAATGACAAAAACCTTCTAATGCTATCCATTCTCTACCACTTCAAACAGCAGAATGCTATGCTGAAAACATTACATAGTCACATAATTAAAGATAGTATCTTTTCTTCCCTAAGAACAAGTTATCCTTGCCGTCTTTGTACAAAGAATGCATACGGTTGGCTTTCTACATGTGTATCTACAACCTCAGCAGCCTTTTGTTTGTTTTTAGATACTATAGGTAGTCTTATTACACATCTGGTTGTTTATTCACACTTGTCCTTGTGGGAAAAGGAGAGACAGGCAACAACAGGTACTGACAACCTACTAACTTGCTGAAATGCCTTCATTCTAATATATGTCAAAATGTCAATGCCTGCAGTGGGCTTGGTCTTTGTCCTTTCACAGAGACTACATTTTCAGCTGATTGTTGAGACAGTAAAATATGATGGCTATTTACAGAATTATGAAAAATAATTAAAAATGTAAAATTACTTAAAATAGAAACTTGTAAATTAATTTAAGAAATAAGTAGCTGCAAATTTGCATTCTTCTCTATGCTTGCAAATTCAAGGGGAAGATATTCTCTCACAATTACTGGTTTACATCATTCCACTAAAATCCCACAAACATCATTCACATCATCTCACTTAAATGAGTTGGTAATACCTGAGATGGACTCAGATATCTGACTACCTAAAGTATGGTGAGATTTGTATTCATTTTGTTGCATGTTATTAAAGACCAGATGCTTCAACACATGATGTTTATGTAGGTGTTTTGTTGAGCTATAAACAGAACTTTACCCACATTGAAGCAATGAAGAACAGCAAGCCCTTCAGGATACAAATAATTTTAACAAATTTTTAAGTTTCCTAGAAGCTTTATAAACAATAAGGTAAAGCATTTTTAAAAATTGAGCACATGCCTTTTTCATTCTTACCTTTAATTTTTCTAGCCCTGTTGGTAGCTGTATATCCACTTTGACCCATTCCTTCTTAGTCATGATGTTGGTTTCCCACAAGGTATGTTCCTCCTGTGAAATGCAGAATATGATGTTATAAAGCTATTTTTGTTCCTCTGTAAATTATCAAGGTCATTTTTTGTCCTCGATCTTTTCATATCCTAGCCAAATGACCACTATATACAAACTTGCTCTATGTGAGGAAATACAGCTTCGCATATTCATTTTCAATCTTTGCACTGAGCTCTATGGGAGAGAGGGGAAACAAGACATGTTTACTGTGATTAAACAGGTTAATCATATAATTATCAGGAGTCAGCTTGGCAGAATCAAAGTGCATTAATATGTAAATTAAGCCATGTTATTGCTAAATTTAACAATATGTTTCCATGGTGCTCTCTACATTAGTTTCTTTTTCATAAATAACTGCTTATACTATGTTGTGTTATAATTAGATTTAGTTTTCTTAGAACTGAATTTGGGGTCTGTCAAAATTACCCAATCAGCTGTGCTTTCTTTTTTTTTTAAAATCTGTAAAGCAAGCAGGCAGAGTACTACCCAACAAGTGCTAGTCATGTTCTGAGTTACCTCAATCCCGATTTTCATTCCACCTCCTAAGGATAACAACGAGAGTGCCAAATATGGTAAGGCTCCCTTTATGCAAGCACTCCAAGCCCTTTTGATTCAAAAATCTGACAAAACCAGCTCATGTTCATTCTGCTTCTGGTCATGATCCTAACTGGAACATGCTGAGGCCAGTATAAAGAAAACAAATGTAGCAATGTGAACTTCATATCCCTAAATAAAATCTTTTCAAGAATCAGCTCCAAAATAGAGCAAAACCAGAAAGACAGAAAAAAAATGTAGGAAAGGTTAATATAGGCTACACATACAAACAGACTTACCGTTACAAGAATCAACAGTGAGACCCCTTTTAGGATACTGTGCACAGCACTTGTCATACCTTTTTCACAAAGGATATTACAGAATTAGAGGTGGTTCAGAAAAAGATGTGAAGCAGGATAAGAGAAATGGAAAGTCTCTCGTATGAAGAGAAATTGAAAGGATAAAAAAAGTTTACCTTACAGGAGATTAATAAAAAGGGATATGATAGGTATGTGAAATGTTATCAATACTATAGTTAAGGACAGTTATCTTTTTTCCTGTCTTGCAATATAAAAAAGAGGAGGAAGATGCTGTCTACTGCTTGATAGACTGAGAGGCTGAGCCTACAGAACAACACTGATATGATTTGTGACGAGTAGCCAATTACTTACGCTCTTTTCCTCCCAAGACTTCAACTGTGTTATGACACATTAACAAAGCTAGAAGACTAAATCTCTACCGAATATGTGTTCAAAGATCGGTTTTGAAAAACTGCAAGACAGGGCCAAGCCAATAGCTTAATTCCAAACACTAAATGACATAAGAGATCAAATTTGGATAAACCACATGACATACACTTAATTTCAGAAATGAAAGTCAGCTGTGAGTTTCCACATCAGTACAGGATGTAGGTATTTGTCAACTTTGTCAGCTATGTGATAGATATTCAGCAAAAGTCTTTCAATGTTGAGGACACTTCATTCTGTGTAAAACTTGCTCCGTTTTGCTAAATAATTCAACTTCCAAAGAAAATCTATTAACGTTATTAGCCTACAATAGCCACATATAAGACACAGAAAAGGATGATGTACTAGGAACCATACTGCACGGCATGTTAAAACCATAGTCTGTGGTTAAGAGTCTGCTTTTAGAAATGTTTTAGTTAATGTATTTGGGCACGCATGCATTCCACCACATGTACATATATGAACCCTCTAAACACATTTGTATGCCTTGTGGGAACACTACATTTGTTGTTTATTTCATTGGATGCATCTGGATACTATAATTTTGTTCACATTCAATTAACAGCTTAGATACCTATCCCCACAACCATCTTTCTGCCCAATTCATTTTAATAAAAACAGCTTGTAGTAGTAAACTTGAGTTTCTGTGCATGTGCCAGCATCCAGACCTTCCAGGATTTTTTACACTGAAAGCTGTAAATCACCTCAGATGCAGCAACTTTTTAAACTGGCTATTGTTCTATGCAACAGACATTACCCTCTTATTTTATATAACTCTAATAAGCCAACAATATTATTTCCCTTCCTTGCAATGTTTTCTCCGTAGTATTCATCCTGCTTGTCAGATTCTTCCACCTCTTTGGTAGAAATGAGTTAACCCCCCTAGCACATTCCTTGCATCTCTAGCCTTCTTTAAAATGTTGAATGTATTGCTTTCCCAGTACTTTCCCTCAAGATTTATTTTGGTGATGCAGGGGAGCAGTTGCTCAAAATACCTTCACTCTATTCCCCTTATTGTGATATATTACTATCTAGAAACTATTTTTTGTAAAGCTAAAATGGGCAAGAATTGTTTCTTTTCCCTGCAATGTTTTTTTTGAGATAATGCTACTCAGATTTGAAGGCTGGAAGAGACAATCATGACGTTTTTAATCAACTCCATTTATAAAATACTTTTTTTTTTTTTTGACATTTCTCTACAGATACATTCACTGCTGTACAACTGCACTCACCATTTTGTCTCTTCTTTTTTCATTTCAGAGAGTAATTTGGAACAAAAGCTCTTTTGTTCCCCCACAATGATTAATGGATCACCTTTAACTTTTGCAGAGGAGTGTACTTGCATGGTTTTTGCAAGTGTTGCTGAACACTTACAGAAATGTTAGTGCATTAGGGTACCAATATGCTTGCACATAAAAACATCAGCTGAAATTATCTTTTATTGTTTTACTTCCATATGTTTTGTAAACCATGCAAGATGTAACGATTCAGAAGGTAAAAGGAAGACATATAAGCCCATTACTTAATGGCAGGAATGAGCAAGTAATGAATGTCAAATGATAGACTAAAATCTACATTATCTTCTTTGGTTTCAGTTTTCACATAAAAGTTTAAAATTTATCAGACAGTCAATAGACATTTAATACTGTTAATATTTTATGTTAGTAAAGACAGTTAATATTGCCAAATGTGAAGGCAAACATGAACCAGAATAGAAGAACAATATTACAAATATACGTAAGCCAGAAGTACTGAAACTGGAAGGAAATCAGGAAGTTTTAACTGAAGGTTACATGATGGAAAGAATATCTTACTATCAACAACTAACTCTGAGAACCTGAGGAGAATGTGTGGGAAACTAGAGAACTGAGAGAACAAAGGATATATATTACAGTTAAGGGAAAAATACAGACTATTCAATTACAGCCAATCAGCTGAAAGTTGACAACTCATAAGACACTGGAACAAATTGCTAACAATAATCTTGTAAGCAGCGAGAGAATTAGAAAGTGAGAAACCTACATTAGCTGCTTCTGATGACGAGGCAAGTCACATTATTCAGTGTAATCTTTTTTTTCTTTTTCCCCCATAGTAGACAGATTTGAAAAAGTAGAAATTACTTTACTTTATTAAGGCTTTTAACACAATCTCGTAAGACATCCTTTAAGCAAACTGAGGAGTTTTGGTGCAGACGGAATTACTGTAAAATGGGTGTACAAATAGGAGTGTAACCTTATTTAAAAGAGGAGCTGTCAATTGTTTTTTATCAAACTAAAAGAAAATTATAATAGGTCTCTGCATAGGTCTCTTCCAGGGCCTGACATAATTATAGTGCTGACTACCTGTTTGGATAGTGGAATGAAAAATAAAATTTAAAAAATATGGATAACACTAAAATGGGAGGAATTACAAGCACTCTGGAGGACATAATCAGAATTTAAAATCATCTCAGTATATAAAAAAAAGTTTCAAACCAATAACACAAAGTTCAAAGACATATGAATAACGGTTAGGAAAGAAAAATCAAATGATCAAATGCAGTAATACTGAATGAAGAGCAACTTTCTAAGCCAGCAATAAACCGGGAAAAGCTGCAGATTATCATGGACTGCAAGTTAAATATAAGTCAACAACAGGTTACTGTTGACAAAGAGAGTCCATTTTCCCTATCCTTCTTCATACCCAAGAGCAATTTAAATTCCTTGTCTTCCAATTGATGTCATAATGCCTATATTAGAAAATACATTCATTCATCTTTGGCCTCTCTGTGGAAAGGGTGAGGAAGGCTAGGGATACATTTGCAACATATGTGGTGCTTGTCCTCTAAGAACAGTACTGAAACTGTACATTAAACATAATCCGGTCTCCGTTTGCTTCAGGCCTGTCAGTGCTGGGACATAGTGAGAGTTATGCAGAGATAAGAGGTTCTGACCAATAAAAATAGTAAAAGAGGGTACAGGGAAATTGCATGGTACCAGACCATGCAATTGAGAGGTTATTTTGAATTACAGCCTCCAGGACAGCAACTCTGTTGTCTTCCAGGGTCAGAACCAGCACTTGGCTCTCGCTTCTGTTTCTCAGTATTTGGCTAGTTTTGAAGATTCATTTGTTTTTCATGAGCAACCTAAAGATTCAGTAGCAAAATGTCTAAAAGCTACCCCTCCCTTCATTTCAGTTTAAGAAGTCTTAAATATGAGTCTGTAGGGTTTTGTTTTTGAGGCTACCACCAGAAGCTTACGTTTTTCTGGCAAATTTTGCAGTATGAGTAACTCATATCAGCTTTAAATACATTTATGTGCAATACATACACTTCTGACTGAAGGAGAAACTCAATAACATCAAAGGGCTAAGAGAAGTTGTGGAAACACAGCGGACTGAACTGATGTAATAACTGCCAAAAATGTTCTTCAAATATATATGTAAGGAACTGATTATCAATTAATTCAATTTAGGCTCCCAATTCTATGGGAACTCAAATATCAGCTTTCTCATGTGTTTGGCTCACATAATTTGCTCTATTTTCAGGGAAAGAAAACTCTTAAATTGGGTCCTTTGATGCTACTTGGGTGAACCATTGAAATCAGCATTCCTATTCTGTCTCAAGGTTGCCATGGGCGTCATACCTGGGAATTTATTGGCAAGTACTATGGCACAGATTTTTATGCATTCTAACCAGAACACTGATTATGTTACAATTCCCTGATACAGTAATGGGTCATAGAAAAATACAACTATTCTCTTTTATAAATGAAAAATGAGCAAGGGCCTGGAGTTGTTTTCATGAATGCTTGAAGACACAGTGGGAAAGAAATCAGGTATTTCCATTACCTGTTCCTATATTTAGACCCCTTGGTAGTGTTACGCTTCAGGTTTTTTTGCATCTTACCTTTGTGAATGAAGTGGATCTGTCTTTTTAAATACTTGTATTGTTGGGTGATAATAGTTCAACTCCAACACGAAGATACAAGAGCCATTAACTTAATGAGACCAGCTGCACTGCTCATGCTTTCATTAAGTAGCAGTACAATAGCATCAATATTAAGTTATTAAACAAGACTTTCAAAAGGGAACATTCCAACAGCAGAAAGCCTCCACAAGGCAAGTGAGGTAAGAACGGTGGAAATGGTTACCATTGCTCAAAAAGCATTTGTGTTTCAATTTGACATGGCTATTTTATCTACTAATAGGTAGAAGAACAGGAAAATTACTGCTCTCAAATGTGGGCAAAGTAAATCAGGTGGCTAAACAAGAGCTTTCCAGACATCCTGAGCCAGCAACTTTCCTTTTTTCTGTGCCTCCATAGAGAAAAGCACTTATTTGCCCATTTCCAGAATGGGAAGAAGGCTGGAAAAGCTGTTACTATAGATTTTTCTCCTGAAATCCCCAAATTATTTAACACTGTAACAGCTGGGGTTTGTCCTTGAAGTCTTATTGCAGAACATTCACCCATCAAATTAGTTTATAGCTGAGATGGCAAATACCCAGGTTTTACAATTGCACAGATCAGTGAAACGATACCAAGTTACTGTTTTGCACAAACAAACTTAGGGGGCCGGCATGTGCTAGCAGGCATATTTCCTTGCATTTTGGCTGGTAACACCTGGGCTGCCGTATCTTTACCCTTTGAAAATGAATGCATGTTTCTTCTTACCTGATTAGTAAACAGTACTGTCTTGAGAACACTGCTATCTGCCATGGAGTAATGAAACTGAAAACGGCAATTCTTGCTGGAGCAATGACACATGGAGCTGTTAAGGTGAGCACTTTTATATAACACGTTGTCATTAGCTTCTAACCACTCAAAATGGCCTGAAAAATAAAAAAAAGAGAAGTGCACTTTTTCACAAAACATTTTTTTTTTCCCTCAGTCTATGAAAACGTGCTTTCCTGTAATTAAACCATGGACCTATCCCGGCAACAATGGCATCTGATCATCGTGCTGATGATGAGACTTGGATGACATGTAAGTGTTTCCTATTAAAAAGATAGATATACATCTTCATTTGACTCACAGATAGCCCCAGCAACCGAGAATTACATCAGTTGATAGTATCTTGAAGTTGTTACTTTGTATGTTAAAAGCCTCCTTATATTTACAATCATTCAATACCTAATTGCAAATATATTCGGAAACTGGGCTTTCTTCTTTCTTCCACTAGGGTTTCCAGAAAATATGCTTTTTACAGAAATACTTCTGTAGACTCTTCAAAAATTTAAAAAAAAAAAAAAAAAGGAAGGTGGCGGGGGGAAGTATTCTGCCCTACTGCTGCAGGAGGCATTTCCACCACGTAATCAAGGTCTTTACTTCTCAGCCAGAATTTCTGTAACAAAGTGCTGGAAGCATATTGTCTCTCCATCTGAAGCAGAAAAGCAATTTGTACTCTTCTTGACCTACTGCCCCTTAGAAAAGCATTCCTACAGAGATCTAAAAGAGTACTCCATCCCCTCAACAGTGTCTTGTATTTGTCAGAAATAAAAAGGCTAACTACTTTTTACCAAATATATCGGGGTGTTTTTCCCCCCTCCTGAGTCACTGAATATTTTGCTGCCTTTTAAAACAGCTATTAAAATAATAAACAAGGACTGATTAAAGGTCTTAAGTCTGCTGGTTCTGTGTTTATGCCTCTAAATACACCACCTCAAATGCAGATGTTACACAGTTTATTTCAAGCTGAAGGGAGAAAGTGTCATTTCACAAGGAAAATGTTTGGTTTTATAAGGGACCACATCTTTTCCGTTTGTTGCCAGTTTACTCTTTGTGTTATGCAACATTTTACACTGAAATACGTGGTTGCAATTTCATTAGAATTAGGTTTGTAATTTCATGCCACAGCGGCTAACCTTGGTACAAGGAAACATAGATTTAACCCAGCATGCTGTTTGACAGAGATCAACAAAGCATCTACACTTCTATGACTGCTGCCTTGTGCAGAAGAGAAATATGCATCAACATCAGAATTTACACTGCTGTTCTTTATCTAACTTCAGAATTCTCTGATGCCATTATAAAACCAACCAATTTTATTTTCTGAGCTTAATGATAATTAACATTCTTTTCCCTCTTTCAGCTTAAGTTCCTGAATCTTTAAAAACAGGGCAAAATGGAGTTGACATGATTTTTAGATAAGAAAACAAGTGAACAGCACTAGATAAACAAAAGTTCTATGAAACATCCAGAATTATCATGTGTCCACAAGTGAAACTGACTGTTCTTCGGGGAATATGTTTTATGCAAGTATTGTGAATGCTTCTGAGACAAATTTGAGGCCTACTTTCAGAAAAGAAGACTCCAGAAACTCCTGTCCTGAAAATACTGATTTTTTAATTATTATTTTTTCCCTCTTCTCTATAGCCTGTAAAAGCAGAACCATGTCAGTTTAACTGGACAGGCAATAAACTATGCTAAAGTACTTGTTTCCCCTCTTTCAGGGGACTTTTTTTGTTTATTGCCTTTAGCCAACATTTATTGAGTAGCTTTCCAAAGATTAATGGTATTGGGAACGTTTTTCTTTCATTTGTTACAACTTTGCAGCTCTTCTCTAAGGTGTGAATTTCCCTCAGTCCAATACACTGCATAGCATATTACTGTGTTTATGCTCCGACCTTCTTTACGTCTTGTTCTCTTGAATTTTCATGACTTTCTGTTTCTCAAGTGCCAATCTTTCCCATGTTTTCAGTCGTAAGCAAAATCTTGGAGTCCCGCAGAAAGATCAGCCACTGACTGCAATGGAGCCCAACCAAAAGCAGAGCTTACAACTTACTGCTGATGAGGCCTGCTGTCTTCTCAGAGCTGGGGTGGGCTGGTGAACCTGCCTGTATCCTGCTACGCTTAAAACTCAAAGACTGTAAGTATTTAGCTTCTTGGCTCCATATTAACCATTTTCTCAAACCTTTTGTCACTTCTTCTGCTTTAATCCATCGTTTTTTATTTCACAAACTACATGACTTTGAATCTATGCTACTAGTTTTAGAGTAACAACTGAGCCTTCAGTTAAAACTGAGCCGCAGAGTGGGACCTTTCCTTTTCTGGCAAGTTCTCTTCCCCATCAAAGAACTTTCAGTCTCTGAACCAATCCCCTGCAACCTTCCCACTCAACCGTTTTGAGGAAAGAAGAGGTAAAATCTGAACTGCCATTGTTTCTACTCTTTGAGGGTGAATTTTCATGAACTCACAAGTCATGGATGAAATCTTGAAGGAAAAAAAAAGGAAAAAAGAGTAATGTAACAAAAATACATAATCTAATGATTTGGCTGTTTTTACTTGAGGGATTTTTATCATTAGTTATCTGAAATGTTGGGTTTAAAAGCCATGGCACTTCCTTTGATTTCTTTCTGTATCTCATAATCTTTATTTTTATTATGCAGAGAACTGGTTTCATTAGTTTCTTATTAAATAAGAGTTACCCCAGATGTAGGAAACTAGATTAGTCCAATGTAAGAAGAATGAACTATGGAAACTACATAGCATGCTGCAAATATCAATAAAGAAAACAACAACAACAAAAATATTTTCTGAACTGTATTGCAAGGGAATATAAAACCTCTGAAAGAACTTTTGACACCAGAGAAATTAAGAGGAAAAGTTATAGAGAAGGTGCCTAAAATACAACACTGGAGAAAAGAAGCAATAAAAGAACAAAGAAAAAAAGTCCACCAAGGACAGAAAGTATTTTACTAAATTTAAGAATACCAGGAAAGGAGGATTATTCAAAGCCTATAAGCAATCCTTTCTTTATAAATATAATTGTCTAGACCTCTGCTTTATAATCTAGTTTCTTACCTCTCTTCTATTTATGATAGTGAAAGCTTTGATCAAAATCAGAAACTAAAGCTTAGTCAAGCTCTATTTGCATTGCAAGTTTGAGCCCTCAAGCATGGCATTTTTGCAGTTTGCACACCATTTATTTAGTTTTTAGGATTTTACTTAATATTCAATCTCTTCATTTACGCCTCAACAAATCTGCATGAAGAGAAATACTGAATGTATTGAGAGGTGAGTGATCATAGTTCAGATTTTTCAATACTTTCTAATGTTAATGATGAATTAAATTGTGTGTTGTTTTTACACTTATTTCTTCTCACATTTTCTTTTTTCTTTTATGACATAGAAATGGGGAATGTCCCCAAGCAGTTGTTTGTGTTATATGTTGAGCGTACTCAACTACCTGTGTATATTTATACAATAATGCCCGAGCACCCATACAACAGACATTTCGAAATGTGTTCTGTTTCAATAGACATTGCTTGTGACCAGGTCCTGTAAAAGCCACTTACAGAATTTCAGTATCTTTTCTGTTAGCACAATATTGCCATAAAAGGGAAATCCATACCCGCTACTAGCCCCTGAGGTATGTTAAGGTATGGCACTGATATAACACCTTTCAGGGAGGTGTTTAAAATAAAATCAAATTAAAAGTCTCATTTTTGTTAGATATCCCAGTGGAAATTGAAAGGTGGTGTGACCTCTTTTCTTTCTTTCTTTCTTTTTTTTTTTGAAGATGAGAAAAAAAATCTGCTTTACTTGTCTATATGCTCTCTGTTGTACATAAATGTTACATGCAAAAATTCATCTTAACGGTGTTAAGTGTCTTTAGCACTTTTGGTTGCTATTCCATTATAATTTGACTTATAGTTACTAGAGTGTGTTGAAATGCATGCTAAGATTTATTTTAAAAATATTTCTAAAATGAAAACAATATCCAAGCATTCATTCTGCTGCTATCAATGAGATGTACTCCATTTCTGCGAGCTCAAAGTTCAAGCAGTAATCTCCACCCTATCCATTCTTCAAAGCTACATCACAAATTGTACTATTACAACTAGTGCTACTTAACCCCTTTGAAGGCAGTCTCAGTAGACAAGCCAAACACTTAGCTGGCAAGGTGATTCCATTTCACATTATAACACTTGGACACTTACATCCATTAAGCTTTCAAAAACCTTTCCCATAAACCCATAGACAAGCACTACACAGTGATTTCAAAAATAAGCGCTGTTGTTTACTTCTGAAAATTGCAACTGGGTCAATTTTACTGTTTTTAAGAGTAATAAACTATTTTGTATAATAAATGTTTCTCTACAGCTCCCCTAATTAAAGGTTTAAAGTGAAATTCCTGACTGTGTGCTCAAACATAGTAGTACTAGCCAAGTAAAACTGCCAAGTGTCAAAACCAAAACAAAACAGAAAAAACACATGTAAGGGCTGTGGGCTTAGATGGATTTAATTTAATTTCACCAAATTGTTGCATATATCTCATACAGAGAATTAACTATAGAATAAAAAAATTATTAGCTTATATGGGAATTCTTACATTAAAATCTTTTGTGTTTTACCAGCACCTGTGTTCACAGTGCCCTTACTAAATGGTCAATCAAAAGCTAATTTAAGTACAAAATACATACAATTACTTTTCATGTTTTTGTTCTGTTTCTACATTGGGTCACCACCTTGTCCGAAAAAGCACCACATTCTTCATGACAGCTAGTAATTGTGCATTAACTTAAATTTCCCACCTTCAGTATTGTTGTTCCAATCTTTCAGGAAGGAACAGGAGGCAACCTTGTGCCAGGCTTGCAGTCGTGCCCACATAGCAGGCTCAGCTGGCTGATCTGAATGCCACTCGCAAATATCAAGCTCAAAACTGGAAGTCTGCGGTGCTAAAAGACAAATAAAAACAATCGCTTAACTTCTTAAGGAGTCATTGTTTATGAGACGGCTTCCCATTAGAAACATACGCTTCTTAAACGGCTTGACAACATTTCTGCCTCTGGTTACTTCAAAAACGTGTATCACTACGTGCTGTCTAGTATTTCAGGCTGCCATCTTTAACGATACAATTTTAAAAAATCATTCACTAAAGATGGATGCTTCTTTCAGAGCAATGGAGTGCTATTTATGTTAGCCAGTCGTTGCAACACTCCTGAATTCACTTCAGCAGAGAGAGTTGCCAGGAAACATAAAAAATGACATGTCATAACAAGAAATACCTATTTAATTTTCTAGATGATAGCTACAGAAAAATAACTTCTAACTGAGAGGTTAAACTCAGCATCATCTCCATAATACTTGCAACAGAATGCTTCTTTTTAGAGCCAAAAAGTTTCTGAATACATCACCACATATTTTCAAGAACTTTTTAAGGGCAAATCATGCCTGACTAATCTAATGGCCTTCTACAATGGAGTGACAGCATCAGTGGACAAGGGAAGAGCTATGGATGTCATCTACCTGGAATTCTAGAAGGTTTTTGATATAGTTCCCCACAACATTCTTACCTCTAAATTGGAGAGATATGGGTTTGATGGATGGACTGTGAGATGGATAGGGAATTGGCTGGATGGCCATGTCCAAAGAGTTACAGTCAATGGTTCAATGTCCATTTGGAAACCAGTAACGAGTGGTATCCCTCAAGGGTCCGTATGGGGATGAATACTATTAAATGTCTTCATTATGACATAGATAGTGGGACTGAGTGTACCCTCTGCAAGTTTGCAGATGACGCCAAGCTGAGTGGTGCAGTTGGTACACCAGAGGGAAGGGATGCCATCCAGAGGGACCTTGACAGGCTTGAGGAGCGGGCCCATGTAAACCTGATGAAGTTCAACAAGGTCATGTTCAAGATCTTACACCTGGGTCAGGGCAATCACCATTATTACTACACACTGGGGGATTAATTGATCGAGAACAGCCCTGCAGAGAAGGACGTGGGGATATTGGTGGATGAAAAATTGGACATGAGCCAGCAATGTGCACTTGCAGCCCAGAAAGCCAATTGCATCCTGGGCTGCATAAAAAGAAGTGGCCAGCAGGTCAATGGAGGTGATTCTTCCCACCTGCTCTGCTCTCGTAAGACTCCACCTGGAGTACTGCATCCAGTTCTGGGGTCGCTGGCGTAAGAAAGACATGGACCTATTAGAGTGGGTCCAGAGGAGGGCCACAAAAATGACCAGAAGGCTGGAATACCTCTCCTGTGAAGAAAGGCCGAGAGAATTGGAGTTGTTCAGCCTAGAGAAGTGAAGGCTCTGGGGAGACCTTGTGGCCTTTCAATATTTAAAGGAGGCTTATAAGAAAGACGGAGAGAGACTTTTTACCAAGGTCTGTAGTGAGAGGACAAGGGGCAATGGTTTTAAGCTGGAAGAGAGTAGATTTAGACTGCATATAAGGAAGAAATTTTTTTACTATGATGATGGTGAGACGCTGGGACAGGTTGCCCAGAGAAGTTGTGGATGCCCCATCATCGGAAGTATTAAGGTTGCACGGGGCTTTGAGCAACCTGATCTAGTGCAAGATGTCCCTGGCCATGTCAGTGGGGTTGGACTGGATGATCTTTAAATGTCCCTTCCAACCCAAACCATTCTGTGATTTTATGGTTCTATAAAGTTTGAGATGCCAGACTGTAGCTGCAAAATTTTGTGTAATTAATAATGGCTACAGAAAGTAAGTCATGATTCTAAGCAGCGCTGCACTATGATAATAGAAGTTCCATTTCTTAATATTATTTCAGGGGAAAGGCAATCTTCTAGTTAAGACAGACTTTTAAATAGCAGTCAGGTTATCTCAGAGAAAACATGGAGATTCCTAACTGTACGGAGGAAACAATTTTATGTCAGTATACATAGACATTACTGTCTACTGCATCTCAGAGTTATTGTGTTATTCATATTACTGACATCTCAGTGAAATATCCTGTCCAGCTGATGCTACAAACCTCTCATTTCTTCCTTGTTCCAGTGTTGTGTAAACATGTGCACTTTTTTCAAACCATGTGTATTAAGTGAGAAGAGCTTGTGGAAAACTTACTTCCCATGGAAATGCAAAATTCTAAAACTGTCTAGAAAAAGATAGATTGTGTCAATTTCAACATTTGAAAAAAGCTGCAAATACACTCAAAAGGAATCAAGCTCTTCTTTAAACACTAATTATTGAAACAAAACATTTTGATTCATTCTGCTTTTTTTTTTATTTAGCTTTAAACCTTTCTGAGGTTGGTTGGTTGTTTTGACAAGAATTTCAGTCTCTTGGGAGAAAATACCCATTTTCCAGCTCTTAATTCTGCAGCATGTCAGGGAACAGTAAGATTAGTATTTTGGATTTTCTGACTCCCATCCCTGTAACAGTTCATCTGAAAGACTCTGCATCTGGTTCTGCATTTGTGATATTAAAGCCTACATCTTTGCATGATTAGAATTAACTAAGGAATTAAGTTCGAGATTTTTTTCAGTTGAAGTATTCATACAAGATTTTTGTCAAAATTTATACATTGTAAGTGATACATACATAATTACTCCAGTTTTCCAGAATAAAAACTATCTTTGTAGAGAAGGTATATCACTTTTGCATTACAAGTGACTTAAGGAGGACAAAAACCTCATTCTCCCTTATAGCATTCCACTTCCATGCCTTTGGGGCTCTTTGCTTTCAACCCTATGGCAAAATCAGAACGACAATCTTAATAGAGTTCTTCACATATGTAATTCATCAGGAGTCAAGAGGGAGTTCTGCAGGGCAATGAGACACTTGGATAAGAATATGAAGCCTTTGAATAGAAGCTCTACTAAAGATATAATTAAGGGAGATTTTGTATTACGTATGTTTTAGAGCATAACTTTAATATTTTCTATTTGACAGCTAAAATATTTTTTTCTGCAGTACATATGCAATTGTATAATAAAAAGCTGTGGTGTTTTTGAGTGATAACTGAAACAATTTGGCAGCTCTTGGGAAAACTACAAACTGTGGAGTATCTTAAATTGCTATACTGAAGATAGGTTTTAGTTGGGTTTTTTTAAATGCATGAAGTTTACTGTCTAGCAGAACTGGACAAGAGACTGAAGGAGGGCAGTTTGGGAGACGGGGAAGGAGATAAGGGAAGAAAAAACTTAAAACTTAATGAAATTACATTTATATTTAGCCGTCACAGTTTGTATCAAGAAACTCCTGAAAGCACAAATACTTAAGCTATTTTACTCATGACCCTAAAAGCACAGTCATACTAATGAGTACAAATGCACAGATCATTTCTTATATGTGTTTACACTGCGATTTAAAATCATGAAGGGTACACTACAAATGCAAATTTTAAATACAGATTTCATGCAATTAAAGTGGTCTTCATTTAAAGTCATCTCATCCAGACATTCCATAAGTACTAGAGAAAAAATTATTTCAAATTCAAACAACCATTACTCTGACCTTTTGTTTCATTACTGGAAAATGTTCAGTAGTAGAATTCCTCTTTCAGGGAGAAAACTGAGATCCTTTGACCTTGTTTTTGGCTGCTGTGAGCAGTTTAGATGTCACCTAATGAAGCTGACTTTTCCTAATGGGGAAGCACAGGATAAGAACTGGCTCTTACTAGAATATACCTGAAGTACTTAACAATGCGGCAGCTCAATCTGTATGCCACACTATGTACTTCCAACAGCTGCCATGTAAGGTAAGTTTAACACCTAGATTTATAAGTTCTGGTGAGTATACCCTGTTTCTGTTTCAATTTTTTATTTTTTCATCTCTTTGAGACAGTATTTCATCTCTATAGCTGATTTTTTTTTTTTCATTTTTCTTTGCTTTAGAAGCACTTTGTTTATGAAAAAAGCCAATATATTTGTACAGAGAGATTTATATCCTCCTGTGGGAACTGGTTAAGCAATTATGTAGGTTGCTAGAATCTAGCAATGCATTTTTTTCCATTTTAAACCTGCCCTTTCATCTGCAGAAAGCCTCCAAGGAACAGAAAGAAGTTGGGAGAATCACACATCTGTCCCCTCTTCATTTTCAGTTTCAAATTCATTTTTTCAAAGAAAGCACATTGTAAACTTACCTGAGTTCATAGACAAGCATGTCCCAAGTTTTAAATTAACATCCTTGCTTATTTAAGAAGTACTGCTAGAAAACCTCTACAGAACAGAAAAGCAAAATGGGCCCTGACATGAAAATATTTGTAGAACATTTGCTTCTATATTTCTCCATTGTAAGAAAGCTGAAACATGGAGAAACTTACATGACCAAGTTTAGTTACCTGAAACTTCATTTCCCCATTATAGATCCTCTTTGAAATAAATATGTGTGCCTGCCTGAATCATTACACTAGGATTTATATCTTGCTCTTACTGTGATCTGCCTACAATTGCTCAGCACTCTAATAATATTAATAACTCTGTGCATCTATTTTCAACAGTATTTCCTACTGGGAAATCTAGAGAGCTTTATTTTAGACCACAGTAGACAAAATCAATCATGTAACCTAGTTTGGTCTGTGTCAAACACTGCATTCTATACCTCAAGTTAAATTTAAAGACCAAACCACTCAGAGGAAGGAAAACAAAGGAGGTGCTTTGAATCAGGACTGTGCTTATCTGGGGATATGACATAGGTGCCACAGTGCAATGTTCTTGCATAATACAGAGCAACAAGCAATATAATTTATGCTAGAGTGGGTAATATTCCTCTCGCATGAAAATATATTGGGTTGAAAAGAGAAATAGGAAATGTTTTGCTAAACAATCCCGACATGCAGGGATGGTCTGGCTGCAGAGCTGACTAGCCTGACGTTAAAACTCTTGGATGTAGCAGAGCGCAACAAAATAGCCCAACTACACAGCTGAGGATCAGGACCTTCACGCATTTAAAAATATGCACAAGTGTCTAGGGAATTTCCCTAAAGTCAGCTCCAAACCTTTTCTTGAGCTGGCTGAACACATCAATTCTTTGGCCAAAAACAGTAGCTCTTTTCGGCACACTGAGGTCTTAGTGCTCTCCTGGCTGCAGGAAGCTACATTTATACTGTACCAGACTTCTTAAGGTATTTATTGTCATTCTTTGTAACTGTGTTTAGATGTCAGAAGATGGTTTAGAGGAATGAAAATGAGCCAGATGAAAAAACTTATGGAGTTAATCATAGAATCATTAAGGCTGGAAAAGACCTCTGAGATCATCCAGTCCAACCGTCAACCCAACACGACCATGCCCACTAAACCATGTCCCTAAGCACCACATCTACACGTCTTTTAAAAAGTTCCAGGGATGGCGACTCCACCACTTCCCTGGGCAGCCTGTTCCAAGGCCTGACCACTCTTTCAGAAAAGAAGTTTTTCCTAATGTCCAGTCTAAACCTCCCTTGGCGCAACTTGAGGCCATTTCCTCTCGTCCTATCGCTTGTTACTTGGGAGAAGAGACCGACCCCCACCTCGCTACAACCTCCTTTCAGGTAGTTGTAGAGCGCGATGAGGTCTCCCCTCAGCCTCCTCTTCTCCAGGCTAAACAACCCCTGTTCCCTCAGCCGCTCCTCATAAGACTTGTTCTTTAGACCCTTCACCAGCTTCGTTGCCCTTCTCTGGACACACTGCTCCAGCACCTCAATGTCCTTCCTGTAGTGAGGGGCCCAAAACTGAACACAGTATTCGAGGTGGTATTCAAAGGCTTTCCTTTGTGTTTTCTCTTCTAATCCAAGGGAAAGACAAAGTAAAATGATGTCTCCTGAAAAACAGGTATTCTTACCACATGCCAGAGAACATCCTTCACTGAAAGTAATATCATCAATGGCAACAGTTTCATCTTGTCTCTGGGTCTCCATCATCCCCCAAAAAATAACCTGCAGAGATTAACAGCAAATCAACAAGAAATGGCATTTACCAGTGTCACAGACAAGAGAAAAAACCTTCCAAGATATGCCAGTCTAGTCCATAGAGTTTCTATTAGAAATATGAGAACTCAAATCATGCACTTAACAATTTTGGAAGGTTACCATCCTGGCTTTTTCACATATCTGTGGTTTGTCAGCACAGATATATAGTCTAATCATCTAACTCAAGAGTGAAATAGCATTTAACAGGAAGGATCTGAAAACCACAAAATACATTAAAATCTAAGCAAAGATCACGACAGTTAAGAAATACAAAGGATTTTGTATTTTATCAAGCCATTATTCCACCAGAGACTGGAAATGTGAACCTTTTCTAGTTGTTTTCAGAATTTACCAGAGAACTGGAGCAAAGTCAGAGCAACAAGGACCATTAATCAGAAGCCTTTCATCAAGTTTTTAGCCAAAACAAACCTTGAGGAGCACTTGGTCCACAGTTATTCTGCTCTAATGTTACAACAGTGATTTTTTTTTTCCCCCCTAACAGTCTTGTATACACAAGTAGTTACAAATATTTTACATTTCCATCGTAAGGGCAGATTTCAATCTACCTTTGTAAATGTAGAGACCGCCACATTTTTTCTGCAGTGTTGTAGAAGGGTACTGATTAACCACAGTCCTTGGGAAAACCCAACAAAAACCACACAAATAAAAACAACCCAACAAATCAATCATATGAATAACATTCCTTAAATTATTCCCTAGCCATATCTTGAGATGTTACAGCTCCAGGCTTTTCCAGAGTCCTGGAGGCACAATCTACCTAGAGGTACATTCTAGCTCTTAATAGCGAATGTACAGTGTTGGCTAGATAGTAAGTTTTCAAAAATTAGCTTTAGAGTTCAGGGGCAATTTTGTGTATAGTTTAAGAGATTGTCACAGAAAACCTGCATTTATCCTATAAATTATAATTAAAAGTACACTATTCCACTGTACAAGATGACACAACTGAGCGAAGGATATGACCACTATCTTATCAGTTGGGTTTTTTTGGGGGGTGGAGTTTTGGGGGTTTTGTTTGTTTATTTGTTTTTCTTAAGCTGTAGTTGAACTGCACAAGAAGTGTGGCAGCCTATAAAGTAAAATTATCCTGGCATTATACAACCAGAGAGAAGTGTAATGTTATCTGCCGTATCACCAGTGAGAAATCCATGTCTACTTTATTTATATATATAGACTTTTTTTTTTTTTTTTTAACACAGCAAAGAGGATGGCCAGTAACCACTTTCTCTAGCAATTATTCCATGAAGACCGTTGTTAGCAGACACATGGACAACTGCATTTTCTAATATAGTATTGTTATGAAACAATGTCACCCTGTGTGTTCATACTTCTTTGATCGGTTGTAGCACAATGGAAAGAATGCAGTTCATTGAAATCCAGAAGTTTTGAAGGAACAGGGTTAATCCTGATATAAGTTTTTTTAAAAAATTCTTTTGATATAATGATGTTTATTTCATTTCATGTTAATACATACTTGGAAAGAATAACGATTTCACACTAAATATTAATGGCATCATATCACATTCAATAATATGTTTATATGGCTGAAATGCAGTACCTTGGAAATTTGTTCATTTGATTTGTTTCAGAAAACAATATTTTGAATTGTTGAATGTTGCTGCAACAACATGTATAGTTAATGTGTACTCCGGTGACATCACCAGTAGAAGGACAAATAGTATATTCATATTATCCGTTTCTATGAGTACACAGTTTCAGTGTAACCCAGTGCACGTTTTGTAATTAGAAACACAAGAAATATTATTTAATATCAAGGATTTGACAAATATTTGACCTTTTCACAGTGATTTTTCATTGTGAAGTCAAAATCTAGTTATTAATAACTTCATTTATAGTATGTATTTATATATAGCTTGCAGTTAGGGCTTCATAGTCAGATTTTATTTTTAAGTGAGACAAAGTGATTTAGACAAGGCTAAAGAGGTGTTATCTCACTTTGCTGGTGCAAAATCAGAGGTGGCTTCAAGTTCATATTCCATTGGAGCACACAAAGTATTCAACAACTTGTGTTTCCTCATCATGAACAGTTTGTTTACTTGGTCAATATAATAAAAAGCATGGATTTGAGAGGCTTGTTTTAAATGTATATGTTATCAACGTCTCTACAAAGAGCTCCCTGCTGACAGATGTTGTAGACATTCAACACATCCTGGTATTTTGAACACCCGGGAAAGTTTCTCCAATGATAAAAGAAAACAGCTAAAAGTGTTCGACTACAGGAGGGCAGTCAGATGCCCTGAAGTCTATGAAAGGTTTACTACTGACTGAACTGGGAGCAGAGTCAGTGCTGCAACTCTGAGCCCATCTCTCTAGAAAAGTGTCAGTTCTATTTTTTTCTTCATCGTGTCTTAACTTTCCCACTTCCAGATGACAGAAAATCATGCTAGATGCCTCCAGCTGCTCTCACGTCTAAAAAAAGATTAGCAAGGTTTTATCCAGCACAGATACCCATTTACCCTCCTCTGAGGAGTTCACTTCGATAATAACCAAACTGACTCCCATCCACATTTATTTGAGCAAGGAATTGTTCAGTTTTCCCTCTCAAGCAAAGTCTAGAGCTTCTTCAGTCCAAAAATCTGTAATGAAAATGTCTACTTAATGACACTATTTGCTCATAACTGTAATTAACAAATGCTGCCTAAATATGCAATATCTATGGCCGTCAGAACAAATTAACATTGCAGCTCCATTCATGGCAAGGAAAGCTGTAGTGGGAATGCAGGTGGGATCTAACACAGGCTGGGCTTCCCTGACAAGTGCAGCCATGGGGACAGATTCCCAGTGCAGCAGCAAAGCCCAAGGTAAAACACAGGAACGAAGCACGAAGACAAAAGTGAACCCCAAGCCCAGAACCATTTTCCTTAATGAGGTCTGGGAGACAGAAATTTGTTCTCACTAGAACAGAGGGAAAGTAGTTTAGGAGAGCAAACCATGACACAGTTCTCCAAAACCCAGCCAAATGAGACATACTGAGCTTGTTGTGTGTTGAGTAATTAAAGCAGTGGTAATCTTTGTATTTCAGAATCCCCTACAGGTGGAGATTTTTGAAAGCGAAGACCAAATCCCCTCTCCCATAAAGACAATCAAGACTTTTTTTTTTTTTTTTAGTAGGAAGAGACAAAAGTATTAAATAGTCAACATCAAAATGAGCAAAGAAAATAAGCAGCGGAGGTTGATTTTAATTAAAATCTCACTTCAAGTGTGCTTGCAAAATTGACAAAAATACTCAAGTACCCTGTTTCAAAGAGATTTCTACACCCCAAAAAAGTATTTTTTTCCCATACATTTTTTTCCATAGAAACTTTAATCATCAAAATTTTATCTTGAAAAATGCCACAGGTAGCCCCGTAGGCTAAAGATCTTATCATATTAAAAGAACAAGTATAAAAGGGCAAGTGAATTGCATTCACTTGTATGACCAGCATCTTGTAAGTTGTCACTGGAGGAAAAACATGCAACCAAAGAAGAAGATTTGTTCAGCTTCAGGCTCTAGGTTTGATGAGGTGCCCAGCTACATTTCTTTAGACCATTGTAATGATTACTGCAGTAAGTTTGACACATGCCTCTTTAAAGCTGGACTGTGCCCATCAGTTCACTTTATAGAGGCCAAAGCATAACAAGGTTGCAAGCAATAATCTAATTAGGATTTGATCTAGCAATTTAGAGGAAGACGATGCCATATTATATTAACCATTCCCAGATTCACTCAATTTTCTAAACAATATGAAGGATGAAAATGTAAATCTAGAAGTAAACCCTTCCGGTACAATCTCAGATTGCTCTACATACACTCATATCAGGTAGAGATAAGTTATTGACAAGTAACAACATGGATACTCGTGTTGAGTTAGGTACAGGTATTTCGTAACATACATTCTCAGTCAGGGTTGAACAGGTGAGTATTACTTCAAAAATCCAGATCTTGTTGGATGCTTTACCACAATGTTACCTCTGGAAGTCAAGTAATTATGTTACTCAAATGGTTTATTGAAATGAGGTTGTGCTCTCATGCCTTCAGGTTTGTATGCTAACCAACTCTTCACAGTAACTACTGTAGGAGGAAATGCCTCTGATTTTATTCTCTGCTCCCCACTTTCCCTCCAGTATTACACATAACAGTGAGTATACATCATCCACGATATTATAGCCCTAAGTTACATTTACTGTGCTAATGTTTTGTGTAAATGCAGATGTAAAAACATTTAAATAGTCTATGAGACTTGCGTTGTTTTTCAGCAGCTTTGAGCAAAATAAAACCATATGCATGTGTTCTGTGACAAAGGCTCAAAGCTACAATGAATAGTTAAGTACAGGATTTGTCACGTGAAGCATACCTACAGAACAGTGTCTAAGTAAAGAATTGTATTTCCTATATAAATTACACCTTGAGTTTATCGGTACAGTTAGATTGAGGCTAAGGGAATACTGCATTGAAAGTTAAGATCCCAAGTATATTACTTCTGTGGGCAGGATGATAATTTATGGTACAAAGAGACTGACTGTTTTATTTAAGACACATGCACAGTTTAACTAAGGTTTGGTATTAGTTTTAACACCACCTAGAGATAAGAACAAGCAGTATTTGTTAATGCCAACTATTAACTTCCAAATGGTTTTTTTTCTTTTTTACCTCATGATAATGCTTTCCATTTACAAAATATTTACTTTTGACTTACTAAAAATACCACAATTTATAAACCATTTTAAAAGCACAATTTACAGTCACCTCAATTTACCAACCTCATACTTTTCAGTGCTATTGATTGTGATGGTACTTGTTTTCCACTGATTTTGCAATTCTTCTGAAACTTGCCAGATGTTTGTAACACTATCTTCAGAGTGCTTTTGAAGCCCCACCATCAATGTTCCGCTCATTTGACTGATCCAATAATGAAATGTAATCTAGGACAAAAAAGGTCTGATTATTCCAGGGAAGTACTATGACAAACAATGAAATACAAGGACTATGCATCGAAATACCTGGCAAACATGTTCTTCGTCAGTTGGAAGGAAAACATTGGTCCTTAAAGTTGCAGAAGAGGATCGCATTTCAGAGGACAATGAGAGGAAATAGGCTATTAAAAGGAATAAGAAAAAAAAAAAAAATCTTAGAAGCTTGGAGAAAAGTTATGTAAAAATGTAACAGTAAACCAAGAAGAGACATACATGCAGGTATGAATTAATAATGAAAAAGCCAGCTGGAAGTTTTTCCCCAGAAAAGATTCATATCACATTTGTAGCCATTGTGTGCCAAGCTTTTGTTCATATAAAATATTGACATAGTATTGCTCCACGTTCCTGAAAAAAAAAAGGGTTCCAAAATGTTTCATGTGCTAAGGGGTTGAATACTCAAAGAATAAGTGCAAAACGCAAAATTTTGGGACAAAGTAAGACTAACTCAGCAAGTTGACCAAAGAGCTTCAACTCCAATTATTGAATAGATCACATATTTCATGCCTAAACAACAAACTGTTGTGACCAACAATACAGATTTATTACAACAGTTCAAATCTTTAGGGAGGTGGTAGAAGATGGGAGAGGAGGCTATGTTGTTGCTCTGTTCCGCAGGATATGGGTGTATTTTTTGGCTGCTCAGAAAACTGCCTCACTGCAGAGAGGAGATTGTGGTATCCCTGTACACACTCCCAATATAAAGGGTTGTTTTCAGAATCTCCACACTACCATTAAAGACACCATTATCTTTCCATTTACAAAGCAAGTCCATATCAAAGCTTTGCTTTACTTGAAAATGTTACAGCTCAACAAGTCAGTGAAATATGGTTGTTGCTATGCCTTTTGACTGATTGTGTCTTTTCCTGATGATATTGTTTCAGATCTTCTAAAAGATGGAATGTAACCACCCTATTTTAGGATATCAAATACTGCTAGACAAAATTTGGCTCTTCCTGAACATGAAGATTTCAGAGATGTTAGATGCTAAAGGACGCAAGGAGGGGGAGGGAAGCTCAACCTATTTTCATTTTTTTAAATTCCTTTCCCTTCTCTCCTCCTTCCCAAACTCCAAGAAATGTCACATAAACTGTTGCCCTCTGACATTAACATGTAAATGAGAGGAGAAAGGAGAAAAAAGCCAAGTGGGGCTGAAGGAATAAAAAAAAGAAGTCTTAAAAATAAAGATTACTACAGAAACAACATATCAGAGGCTATGTAGGAACATCTAAATACTTTGTTTATAAAACTACCCACCCTGACCTCTCATCCTTGCGTGCAACTGGAAAGTCCCTGACAAAGGACCAGAAGACTAGCTCAGCCCTGGAACCAGCTGAGCAGCTCCCCCAGAGAAACACTTTGCAGCCTGCTACCAGAGAAGTGGCCTTGCTCCCCCTTGGTTTTAGGCCTTTCATGACAGCTCAGGCAGCACTTTCAGAGCCTGCCAGCTGCAAGGATATTCTTCCTATCCACAACAGATGGCTTCGTGCCTCAGCAGAGCCCTATCCCTGACTCCAATCTGTTTCATTGGTTTTTAACTTCCATAAAATTTTGAACATTTTTCTTTTAGTTCCCTAAAGATAAATGTATCTAAGACTCATAAACAAGGTCAGATTTCATCTGCCGTGGGGTTTTTAAGTCTTACACAGATGGGGCAGAAATAGTAATTTTAAGAAATTCTTTGAACAGTGATTTTACACTAAACCTCTGCATAGATAACAGGTTTCAGTTAGTAAAAACAGGTTGTGTTTTGTTTTATGTTTCCTTTAAAGTGGTTGTCACTAGTCTGTTCAACTACATTTTCAGTGAAAATACGAACCATGAGAAGAGACAGTGTTGGGTTCTAGTAAATGATTACATGAATCTTCAGAGGAGTTACATCTACCAAGTGATCTTTGCTCTTCTGCTAATGTGTGTGCAACTACTTATTCTGATGGCAGGAACTCTTCCGTTTAATACTCTGCCATAAAGCATACTCTGCTCAGTTGTCACCATACAATATAATTTCTGGTCTTTAAGCAGGAGCCAACATAAAACCGATCACACAGTCTTTGAATCACCAGCAGTGGGAAAACTTGAATAGCTGCCGTAAGGAGATAAATATTTCCTAGGCGATTAGAACCGCATTCAGAAAATGAAAGTACAGTTTAGCCATTCTCCAGGTAGAAAACTGAACTAACCAAATACATTTAAATCTCCTTGGCCATTCAGTTCACAGATCTGAGTACACAGCCTTTCAGAAAGCTGAATAGGCACAAGTATTCAAGCTTCCTGTTATCTGATCAAAATAACTTCAATTAATATGGCTACCGCACAATTCAGACCGGACAGATACAATGGTGACTGAGCACCCAAAACAAGTCAATGGGAATATACAGGTGGCTGAACAGTTTGCTTCCTCTGTAACAAACACTTGAAGTTGATGCTTCTCAATATTTTGCTGGCTTTGGGTGTCTGCATAAGTTAAATTTACCCCTTCCCACTAGTTCTTTGCAACTTTGCATTAGTTTTGCAAACCTTTTTTACTGGTTATAAGCAAGAATATCTTTCAGGTCTTTGGTATGATGCAGTAGGTACAGTCTGTTACAGTACCTCTTATTCCATACTGCTCGCTTCTTTAATTCTAAACAATGAAGACTTGTTGCTTAGGAATTAGGTAACTAGCAGGTATTGTGTTTGCAGGTGTGTAGCATTGTTAGACCCTAGTAATGATTAACCTTGAAATTAAGAACCATAAATGAATGTGGTCCAGACATGGCTCGGAGACAAACCTCGACCTTATAAGGAAAGAAAGGAACGGGTTCATGAAGAGTTCACTACCCTGCCGACCACCAGAGACCACTTGAGACCCTCAAGAAGACTCTAAAGACTTTAGTGCGCATGTGTCTAGGATGATGTAATATTATAATTAGTTCCTGGAAAATTAATGAATATGTAAAAGAGAAACTTAAAATATGTATGAGAAGCATGGATATAAACAGAAAGGTGATTAGACCAGGTGTGCTTGATTTGTGGCAAGTCCACCGAGCACCCAGGCCTGAATAAAACAATATCTCTCCTGAGCGTGTGGAATTGGTTACTTGCACACCGGGCACGAATCCGCTTTTCGGACAACAGGTACATCCTGATGAAGTGTATACCACCAATCAAGCACAAATCCTAGAAACTTCAACCAGAGCAAGACTGTTGCCTGGTTAATTAATTTTGATTCTAGCCAAGGCTTTGCTGTACTTTTTTCCATAGTATTTGTCTTTTATCTGCTTCTTGATGAGAAGAGCTGTTACTATTTTGAAGATAAAGTGTTACACAACTTACATACTTGAAATAAAACTTGTGCTTATGAAAAAGTTTTGGTAGTTACTCAAATTTTTGTGCTAACATCAGTTTAAATCAACATTTATTTAAGAGTAGCCTTATTTTCAGAAGGGTAGTACGCATAGCAGGATGTGCTTGTATGCTACACGCAAGCAAAAAATGAAGTTGTTAGAAGCACATCGCATGGATAAAGTTTCCTAACTATAGAGCATCATGAAAATTGTCAGCTGTGGAATAAGAACCTGCAGGAAAATGTAGAGTGGGGTTTTTTCGTTGATTTTATTGCTATGAAAAATGTTTAAAGTTCTGTGCCAATATAATTTTGCTGATTTCCAAGCAAGTTTTCCATACATTCACCTGTAAACCACCAATTCATCTTAATCATTATATGGAACTTCTACCTGTTTGGTAGCTTATGTAATGTGTAGGAGGTGCTGCTTGTTTCAGAACAGTACAGATTTCCAGAATCCCAGATAATCACAGTTTGGGAATGAGGTGAAAAACACCTACTCAGTCTCATAATGACACTTTTGTCCTATATTACGTTCTTGTACACCCTCCAACACTGCATGCCTGCCTTCAGGTGCTTGCTCCGAGGGCTGCTGCAGCACTGCTTGTACACAGGAGAGGTGAGAGGGGGAGGGTGGAGAGAAAAGGAAAGAGAGTACCAGAAAATATGGAGAAGATAATTAAAGTTTGGAGTGATTACTTCAACCAGCTCACATCTTTACTGTGAGATTAGAGGTCCCCATGAAATTCTTTCCCTCCTTCCTTGGTTTTCTTACAAACAAGCCTTCTAACAGCTTTGGAAAGCAGAAGTCGTCTTACTGCAGCTAAAAAAGTTGGTTCGAGTTAGCTAAAAAGGTATGAAGAAAATCACATATTACAGAAGGAAGAAGCCAGGTTTTGGAAAGCAGGGTTAACTTGGCAATTGGACAAGTATAAGGAACATATTTTGTCTGAGGACAGGGACAATGAATTACTTAGTTGAGGGACAGTCTTTGGTGCAAAGTGGAATTGTAATAAGATTTAGAGAGCAGCTGGCTCAAACAGACTATCAAAGCTCTTCCAGTCCCCAGACCCAAAGTCATCTTCTCTCAAAATATTTGGAGCAGTAATATTAGCCACAGATAATAGATACACACACTCCAGGCATTCACCGGTCCAAGAAGAGATGAAAGTACATCTCAAAATGGGGGATCCAATACTCATTTCTAAACTTTGCAACCATCAGAACTGAAATTGTTACCTGATATCTCCAGAACAGGTAAAGGTCACTCAGGTAGATAAACACAACTCTTAATGACTCATTACTTGCTCCTCCATGATAACAAGAATTGCTTTCTGGAATATTGTCTATTTTTCTAGAATTCTGGGTTATTGTAATTACAATCACCTAAAAACCTGGACACAAGTACTCAGAAAACATGCTGCAGAATAAAATTAAACTATCAAAAAATTAGTAAAATTAAGCAAATAAAATAGACAACTACATAATTTGTAAGAGACCATGGTTCCTTCAAAGAACACGAGGATTCTTACCACTGTTATTCCCATTGTGGTCGAAGTACGGTGGTCCCATGCCAGATCGACCATTTCTTCTTATCCATCCAGGCTGTAAATTCAATTCATGAAGAGCTTTGCATAGATCAGTTTCAAAATCACACTTTTCACAAGAGGAACCTGAATCGAAGCAAATAAATAAAAAGATAAAACCTCAAAAACAGAAGCAAAAGGTTATGTTCTCACCATCGCTTGCTATCTAATCAGCACACAGAAACACTCAGAATGGCCAAAGAGAAAGAGGGCAGTGGAAGAGGGACAAGAGAGAATGAACATTGAAAAAAACCAAAACAAACCACGAAGGCTACCCCCCCCCCCCCCAACCAATCCCAAACCAGTCCATTTATATTATATCACTATAACTATAGGCTTTTTTCTTCAGAAAGATGCGTGTAGCTACCTCCTTGTAAGAAACTGTCCAAGTTAGCGTAGCTTATATGTAGAGGTTGTTCTTAAAATATAATACAGCTATCATCTGAAGAATTTCAGTATATCCTCTGTTTATCTAGGGTTCTTGCATAGAAAAACAAAGACTTAACACCAGGAAATAACCAGATAGCAAAAATATTTTTTTATTCCACTACTGTTTATTTCACCATTTTGTAAATTGAATTTTTCAGGAACTTGGAGTATAAGCCCTTTCCCAGAAACGCCCCAGGGCCTATTAACAGAAAGGTGAGGCTCTCGTCACCTGACATATTCCAAAATTTACCCATGCTCATCGTCTTTACTAAGCTGTTGCATTAAAGCAGAAACCACGTTGTTCAGAGAAGAGCTGAAACAAGTCCTCAGACTGATATAGTCTCCCCATTTCCCTTTCCTCTGACCTTATTTCTTCCAGTGCACATAGCAGCATGGTGGGGAAGGGCTGCTTCTCCCCATTCCACATTCCACATTCCCCACATTCCTGTGGGGCAGCACAGGTTAGAAAAGGGAGGCAAAACATGTCTTTCTGGCACAGGACCCTGTTTGGTGTACCAGTTCACTCCGGGAATTTGAGGTGGGTATGCAATCAGATAAATAATTGCTTACTGGGAGGGAGGGACAGATGTTTGTTTCTGCTCTGGTGTCAGACAGCCCTTTTTGCATCACATCCAAGCTGAATGAAAGAGCTTGCAAGTGCCTGACAGGCTGGACAGCCCCCTTCCTTGAACCACTTATTTTAGTGGTGGAAGGATTTTTTAAAAAAAAAAAAAAAAAAAATCTAGTCAGATGCATCTGTAAAGAGCAAGCTTATTGCAACTTCACCCCAAGCGGAATGGCTGGTATGTAGGACTGTCTCCAGATTTCATGCGCTCTGTGGCAACTTTCGGTTCACCCGCATTTTCTCTTACACAGCGGAGGAGGACAGGTTAAGACTCTGCCTTCTAATCAGGATTCTGGTTAGACATAAGAGCTACAATGCCTTCGCACATCCTCTCAAATTGGTGCTCACTCCGGGCCCCTGCTAATGCTTTTGGTCTATTCTATATAGTCACATTTCACTAATCATTTTAAATAAAGTTGCAACTGCAGCATGTATAGTCGCACTATGATGTCCAATTTCATGGCTTTCACATTCACATCAACTTACTGCAACAATTATATAAGGTGAGACAGGGGAAAATATATATAATTCACTTAAACATTCCAGACTCAAGTTAATGTGCAGATTGGCTGATTCATCAACCAACTTTTTATTGCTGCTTTTATTCCTTAGCTCTTTAAGTGGCTGAAAAGCATGTCAGTGATTCATCAAAAGTGCAAACACTGCTGAGGCATATCTGCTTCACATTACATGAAATGCACCAAATCACGTTCAGTATTTCTTCAGGGATTTTCTCACAGCTGAAAAAACAATTTAAAAATCACTATGTACAAAATAGCAAGAACAGTACCTTTTTAAATTTAAAAAAAATAAATCCTTGATCATTCATGATTATTTTCCAAGGCAATATTCATTTTCATAGAAAATATAACTTGAAAGAAAACCAATGTAAATTTGCTAGAAGATAGATTTACAAAGATAAAGTCACTACTTAGAAAGGAAAAGGCCAGAAGGAAGAAATGTGTGGGATGTTCTAGATATTTTTTGCAGAATTTCCTGTGAACAAAACAAATATTTAAAATAACCTCTAAGGAAAAATTCCAACTCTCACAGAAACAGACTACAGTTTAAGGTTCTATTTCAAGTGTGCATGTGTATAAAATTTCAGTTTGGGATATTCTGGGAGCAAAATGTTTTTAAGAGTAGTTAGTTATCATTCATCCTCTAGTGAATATTTTGCAATAGTAGTTCAGAGACAAAAAATGACTGTAAGGTTTATTCTACTCCTTTTCCAACGCTGTGGCAAAGCACAAACCAAACACATATGAAATCCAAAATGACGATAAAAATGCATCATCTGAAATTCCAACTTTGATATATTTTCAGTGCAGAAGCATCCTTAAACCTGAGTAGAGCCCAGAGAAAACAGCAGGGACCTGTCATGAACATGAGATTGGAAAGCTGAAACCTAAGCAGAAAAATAATTTTGCAATAATCCCAAATCAGAAGAATGGGTGGCAGCAGGATGAATCTTCAATTTGACACCCTGATCTGTATCTTTATGTCTGACAGCTAACTTCTCTCCTGGAGTAATGCAGAGCATTATCCAAGCAGCCCCAGCATCCACAGCCTGTCACTCAGAGCCTAGGTCCACGCCTCTTGCTCATCCATACTTAAAATACAGCATTATTTGGTATTTAGGCCTTTCACAGAGCCTATAGGCTCATTCTTCTAAACTAGTCTTTGGAGCAACCTTTAATTTCTCTACTTTCATATAAGCATTTGTCTATAGCAGTATTCCCTCAACAAACAAGTGTAAAAAGCCTCCATAAAAATTAATGGAAGACTGCATCTCTTGCTGCATATTCTGCAATCATAATAGAAAGTGCTGCCTGGAGGAAATGCTCTTCTAGGGAAACCAAGACCAAGCACAATGAGGATTTCAAGGCTGTGCAGTGAAATGTAGCATAACCATCTCTTGTGCAAGTGATAAAAAGAAAAAATGCTAACCTGAGATATGTTAGTCACACATCAGGTGATTCAACAGGCATAATTTCCAGCCATTGGCATTTAATACATTTTACTACAGCACAATAAAGTTACAAAATATATTGATATCCAATACAGTCTTAACAATTGTCTTATTTGCAGAGGAAAAAAAATCAAGTATCCTAGGGTTGATTCGAGACTCCTGTTTCAAACAGATATCTCCATCGTATCTGGATAAAGCAGGAAGTCATATTGGAAGAAGAAAAACAACATATATCTGGGCACACAATTGTGATTTGAGGAATCTGTATTTAAGCTGCTGCTCTTTCTCACAGATTTCAGCTGAATTCAATGATCACTAGCATGCTCTAATTAGCATTTTTCAGTGTGCACAGAAACACACAGGCTCGTCTAAAGATAATCTACTCTAAATTTAAAGCTAAACCTTAAAACCCCAACAAATATAGTAGCTTCCTTTGTTGCACAGTGAGTAGAATAACTAAGATAAGCTTTTAGTTAAAATTAGGATTTTTGATAAATCCAAGCTCTTCTTTGTACTCCAGAACAAAGATCCTCAAAGAGCAGGACTATCTTATGCATCATATGAAATCATTTGCAGCATCATTTTGTGTTACAGTATTCTGGAAATAGTAGATTTCTGACGCAAATCTACTCAGACACTAGCAGTTAAAATTCACTTTTACTGCTTAGATCTTTCCTTCAAGGGAAACAGCAGCAACTGTAATTATAGCCTCTGAATGTGCCGAAGATAAAGCTAGGATTATCAATTCATGACTTCAAGAAAATTTTCCCCCTTGTCTAGACTGCAAAAAAAAAAAAAAAAAAAAAGTCATTGTTGCTTATACCTTGATCTAGGTATTTTGGATGAAACCTGAATTTCAGCAAACTGTTGAGTTAAGAAAACCACAAATTAAGGAAAAAACGTAATACTTGTTAAATCTCCATTGAATTTATGTACACAAGAAACACTTGCTTTGCTACACAATATCCATATGAAGATTTATGAAAGAGTTGCACCGTATAGAGGTTGAAAATTAAGCAGGAAAAATCAAACCGAAACAGGAAGAAACCATCTTAGAAAATCAAACTAAGAAGAGAGTGAGAAAAAACGCAAACATTTTTGTAACATTAAAAAAAAAATCCCCCCCTAATTATCAAACTGTATCACACTTATGATGAAGCCCACTGAGACTTACCTTGCTTCTCATCACTGCTGTCTCCACACTGGTTTGTGAAAATGCACAGTTCCCCAGATGGAGCAGAGGAGCCATCTTGGGAACACGGGCATTCACTTCCTGTAGATGACTGAGCATCTACCAGAGCAAAGCAATACAATGCGCAGAAGAATATTAATCTGTTCATGGGCTGTGTTACTATCCAAGCTTTCACTTGGAAAAAAATTATTTTAACTGTCTAGTGTTGGTCATAAAGCGTCTCTGAAAAAGCTGTGTTTACACACATCTCTCTGAAAGATGTTTTAGAACCTCACTGTCCGAATCTGCAGCTTACGGGAAATAGGGCTTCTGCAAAGCAGTGACTTTCAACCCGGTGTGTCTTTGGATAATATTTAACTTAATTATAAAATTGTTTTATGACTAAAAAATTTTGGTGCATGTTATGCAAGTCAAGTGTATATCATTAACTTACTGACCGGATTTATTGCCCAGTAGTTTGCAAATATACTAGCTAAGAAAATAACAGGACAAAAGAGTAGAATTACTAAGTGACCAATATTAATAAAGATCTCTCTTTTCTCAGAAGGAGTTGGCAAATGTTTACAAAACTTATGAAGAGTTTGTGCATCAAATGTAGAAAACAGTTGAGAAATTCAAAGTTGATTTTGCATCGAAGGGATTGTAAGAGACTGATCTAGGGAACTTTCGGAGCCTGTAGACATATGATGCTGACAGTTGAAAGTGGTATCTATTTACTATTTACTTGGGCTACAACTGTAGATAATGACTGAATTACTTTAGAGTACCTGGTTGTTAATGGAATCAAATCTGCCACCACAATTTGCATAAATGCATGAATGGACTGGTTATTAATGAATACTTTCCAAATTATTAGATTCCTGTATTTTCTGGAAAAATCATATTTTTTGTGATACCACTAGTGTTTCCCAAGGAAAAAATTAGAGATACCTAGGATCCCATATCTGTATTCTTATGAACAGTGAACAATATGATCATACAAAAAAGCACAGTCAGAATTTGTCAAAATAATAATAATATTTTGTCATCCATTGCAGGAATCCATCATTAGGGGGAACTACCATCAATACCAACCCCAAATATATTACTCTGCCAACATATTCAGTCTCTGTCCAGGGTTATTTAGTTATAGATATAATCCCCACACACGCCCCCATAATTTGCATAATGACTCGTTCTGAAATAGTGCATTTAGAAGAAAAAGTGTGTAGTCAGAGGTGACACAACAGTTCCTTACTAAGCTGTCAAGAAGAGTATTTGCATTGCATTGTATAAATAGATGTACAGAGCATTACATGGTAAGCCAGTCAGGGCTCACCCAGCAGAGATGGGCATTACTAAAACATCCTCGTACAAAAGGACTCTGTCAGATCTTCAAACTGAGGAGGGAGAGTGGGGAGGGATGTCCAGCCAGTCCAAAAAGCCAACCTTATGAGAGAAGGTGGAATTAACTTGTTTAGTTCAGCCTAGCAACACAAGAAAACAGGGAAAAGCTATTAATGAAGTACTTTAAGCACTTTAAATGCCCCAAACGGAGGGGAAAGAGAGATCGTAGGAAAAGGAGAAGATGATTGCAAAAGTTAAAGGACAGTATTAGCCCAAGGCAAATGACTGTGAAAACTAGACAAAACTAGGCTGACAACCACGTAAGCCTGGCACTCCTTTAATAAAAGTGGGATGAAAAAAAAAAATCATCTAACTACTTTTATGGCAGAGTTGTATTACTTTACTAAAAGGATCATACAATTGCCCGATTAGCAGCTTGTAATAAGTAACTGATGCTCTGGAGATTTCTTCACCTCTAAATTCTCAAGATCAAATAACTGGAATGCACATACCACTGTGCGTACGTCCAATTTTTCCTGTTAGCCCTGGTGAGCAGAATTAAGACAAGGTATATCTCTGTAAGTATGCTGATTAGGAAGCACAAGTGCTATAACATCTACAAAGAGAAACAGACAACCTATGTCTGGAGGCATATCAATCATTGCAGATCTGTATTTTCATAATGTAAGAAATCTCTTGTCAGGGTACGAAGACTACTACTCCAACATTGCCTGAAGGCTAGCAGTTCAAGGTCTGATGCAACTTCCTATTATCTCCAACACCAGAGGCAGACATATGTTTACTGTAATAAAGGTTTCAGTTCTGCCTAGAAAGCATTTTCCAGCTGATTTGGTTCAACTCCACCCTCTTTATGACTATCCGTCTGTGGACATCATTTTATGTGCTTCATTTTAACGTTTTGTCCTCAGGCCATAGAGCTGATTGGAAAACTTCCTGAAGAAAAGCAGAGCTACTAATAAATTAATTAAGAGTTCATTGATGTACATATCAGAGTTCATCAAGAATGTGTATCACTGAATTGCTTGCTTCCCTTCCGTAAATACAGCTTAGATTAGAAGCTTATATATATATAAAAAAAAGCACACTACTCCATGTAATATATCATATTACTACATTTGTAAAGGCTTAAATGTTTTATGCTATTCAGCTGTTTTGTTTTCCAATTTATTTTTTCCAACATACAATATTTCATCTTATTCCTTCTTTACCTCTACATCTTCTAAAACTCCTCCTCACGCTGTTGTACTTCATAATGACAGGATTTCCCAGTCTTTCAGGTTTCTCCCTTTTTCTTAAAACTTCTGCTGCAATATTCTAAGCTGTTCTCCTGCTCTGTCTGTAGCATAAAATCTGTATACAAGCTCTGTAAAAGGGTAATTTTTAGCAGAAGCTGGTATCCATTTCCATTTTTATTATGCTCTAAAACATTAATAAGAAGCAAAATTGCATAACCCAAACAAGTCAGAATCACCATAAGACCTGTTATGAGTGGAAATAGATGAAAAATGCATCAACTATTCAGAAAGTATTTAGGGTGTTATCCAAGGATTTTTAGTGAAGGGAAAAAAAGAGGTATTTCAGGGAAGATCTAACAAAAGTGCAAAACCAAAGAAAAAGTCTTTTCTGCAAGTGTGTGGCTATGTACAAGTAGAGACAATTTCTTGACAAGTGCAACAAGTCAGCCCTCTTGTCAACTAACAAGAAGAACACCACAGTTTTCCATAGCTCTGAGAAACATATAAAAAGGGATGAAAAGGTGACTCAGAAGCAAAGGACTTGCAGAGAAAGTCAAAAGCACAAACACTTCAAGTACTGAACTGCAAGCACCTGAAAGCAGAAAGAAGAATCAAGATCTAGAAAAAGGAGGAGCAGAGAGAGAATGAACATATATAAACCAGTAAAAATACGCAGGATGACAGAAAAGCAGAGGGATGGGCAATAATCAAAGGGTTTTTCTGAAAGCAGTAGAGAAATTTTGCAGAGAAGCTAAAGACTAAAAGGAGAACAAGCAGAGCCAGGCACTATGTCTATTTTCAAAGTTACTTTAGCAAACAAGCAGTTCTCAAAAAGCAGAAAAAAAAAAAGTTAAAATAAAAACCTGCTTAAATTTACATCAAAGGTGGATTTATCTGGCTTAGCCTAATTAATTTCATTTAATCCAAGACAAAATACATTTGCTGTAAGTGAAAAAAAGATTGCCCTGTCAGTCTTTCCACTTAAGTAAATCAGTTGAAAAAGTTGTAGATATTTAATCTAGGATTTTTAAAAGATAAGTCTTATAAAGAAGTCCAAACAGGCTCTGAAACAGGGCCAGAAAAGTTTTGCATTTTTAAGTCTATTTTTCATGTCAACAGAAAGTTATCTGCTTAAGCAGAAAATAGATTGCAGTTAGTAATTCTCCATTAAGTTTTTGTAGAGCCAGTTATTATCAACACATGAAACAGAGAAAAGAACTCAAAAAATGGGATATTAGTTTCACCCTCTGAAAACAGTGTTCAAATTTTGCTGCCACTACTAACTTTCTTTCAGGGAAAAGTCTTACAGAATAGAAAACGTAGTGATATCTTCAGAGAAATCAAAATTTCATTGAATTTAATATAATCTTTTAATGGTAAGACTACAACATTTTTATATGTGATCAGAGTAGGGAGCATTACAGCACCAGTGTATATACCTTTAACATATATCGCATTTTATGTTTTTAGTTTTAGTAAACATCATTAATTTTAATACAAACAATCCTCCAAATTTGTTTATGCAAGAACGATTTTATCCAATCATTAAGAAAACCACCAAAATTGTATTTGTGAAATAATTTACAACCACTGAGCCAAGACTTTGTTTTGAGAGCCCCCTCCCAAAAATATGCTATTTGTATTATCGTATGACTGCCCTAGTTTTTAATTGTCAAATTGGAACTGAATGGTGTCTACAAAGTAGAAGAAAGTCAAGTAATCTCAGTAACCTTACTGATCAGTTTTTAACAAGAAATTCTTTACTTTGATGTGAAAGGCTATAATTACATACCATCTGCTTCCAGTTAAGTGGCATTAATTTAACAGTTAACTTGAAAGAGGACTAAGATACATTTGATTAAAAAGGATTCTGGGTAAGTGTTCCTACCACTCGTCTCCATTTGTTAAAGAAAATGAGTAAAATCAATTGAGAGGTTAAAACCAAACTTACTATATTGATCACTGTACAGCATGAACACCGCAGTTACAACTAGAGAAGGACAAAGCACATAATATTAATGCAAGGTGTGATGAATTAGATAAAATCAGGTCAAAGTCCTGGATCATTACAGGTTGAAATAAGGTAACACTTCAGGAAAATTTTTGGTACCATAATTTCTATCTTTCTAATGACAGATCATATCACATTCAAGAAGAGATGACAGGTGCTGATAGAAGGGAAAGTAAAGAAAATAATCAATGGGAGACACAAAAAACTAATCTGATCCCTATGTGTACCATCTGTTAAAATTTGTCTCGGCAGCTACAGTTTGGAGGAAAAAATATTTCAATTCTGAACTGTCAAAGGTTCAGTAGAACTGCCCTTCTCTCTTCTCAACCCCAAAGTAAGAGGGGGAAAAAAAAAATTACCAAAAGTCCTTCTAATCCATAAAGCAATATCCTAGTAGAGGACAAAACTATAAATTGGCATAAAGTAACTCTGACCAGGCAAAACATATTTTTACACCCTACCTACTATCTGCTTCTTCAGAGAAGTTGGAGCAAGACAGAATAATGATTTTCTCAGCATTTGCTTTCCAGTCCAAAAACTTCCAACGGATTTCAG